GAGACCTTCCTGAGACAAGTCCATGGGAAATCCACTGCGGAAAACAGACTTTTAAACAAACTGGGGTTGGAATGAGGGTCTGGAGTCCTGCTTGCTGGCTTTTCCTCTCACCTGCTGGGTGGCCAAGCATTGTTATAGGAGATAAAAAGTGATTTGGAGATGAGCAGATGGAAAAGATAGGAGAGGCTTTTGGGGGAACAAGGAAGAGCCATCCAGCCTAGACTGCAGACCTTCGGGTATCTAAAGGCACCTGTAAGGGAAGCTGAGCGTCAGAGAGCTAGGGCCCCCACCTGGCCGGCGGCAGGAGAGAAGGGGATGCCCATGTGACATCACCGCCCCAGGTCTGCACCCTCCCTGCAGCGTGGTGTGTGGTGCGGGGACAGCAGTGGAGGCAGGACAGGGCTAACGCAGCAGGCGGTCATCGTGCAAGCTCTGAGCCCCGCCCACTCAGACAACCCCCCGCCCTCCCTGCGCATTCGGGAAGGGGGCTCCTTGAGGACAACTCCTGCTCCTGTCCCAGGAGCCCCGAGCAGTGCCCGGGCACTCTCTGGGGTCAGATGGAGACCCCCTTCCTCGGCTGGAATTCGGCTGCTTTCTGCTTCCTTTCCAGAAAGCAGGGGAGGAAAGGCCCAGGCTCTCCCTGGAGAGGGAGGCCCTGCACAGCCGTCCCGTGAGGGTGGGACAGATATTCCAACCAGTAAGATCCGGAATGGGAAAATGCCTGACCCTGACTTCCCCCACTTCCCAGGAGGAAGGCCGGGTCGGCCTGCCTGTGCTCTGGGCCTCTACTGGAGCCAGCACGCGGGCTCCCTCCCGCTCAGTCTCCCGACACTCACCCTTCCCGCCAGAGAGGGAAGGAACAGTTAGCAGGGAGAGCAAATGCGGAAGAGAGGAGGGATTAAGACAGGAACATGGGAGGCCCGAGGGGGAGGCTCTTGGATACTTGCAGGCTGATACTTCTCTTGTTCTTTCTTGCCTGCCTTTGGGCCTGTGGACGCAGCACGTGTCTCTGTCAAGCCCCACCCCCACAAGTCTGACACCAGAACACTTATGGTTGGCTCAAAAATCTAAACGAATCCAACTCTGGTCAACCTGCCCGGTTCATAATGCGGCAAGCCACAGACAACGCAAAGGCTCTTCCTGCGGCTCTGTGCTGGGGTTGGGCACGGGGCTGGGCGGGGTGGCCGAAGGAGCAGACTCAACTCAACACGCAGATCTGGGAAGCCCCACGCGGGACTTAGTACCGAAAAACTCCTTCATGGCCCTGTCGGGGAAGAGCTGGCTGCCTTCCCACATTCCCCTCTGGGAAAAGGCCCAGTGACCGGGAAGAGGAAAGCACAGCGTCAGCCAGGGTCTGACAATCTACCACCGGGACCACCTGCTCTGAGCCCGAGAGCGGATGGCATTGCAGCGCCAGGCTGGCTGGCAGAGCGGCTCCTAGACTGCACGTGCAAACGAGACAGGAAGGGCTGGCTACCGGTGAAGCAATCGAACCAGAGGAGAGGAGAAGCAAAAGGGTTGCTCTTCAGAAACTCCTAAAAAAAAAGCTTAGTCGATGACGTAAAACACGTTGTTTTGATCATTCCACCTGCCCAGAAGTGAGCCAGTAGATTCTTAAAGCGAGAGCTTGCTTTATTTATGGGCCCTGCAAGGTAAAAGGTCAGGGACCCTCCACCTTGAGCTACCTGCCCCGCTATGGCTGTCCGGCTGCTGCCGGGCTACTGCCTCTGGCCGCCAGGGGCGTGCCAGCAGGAGGGCTGTCTGAGCAAGCCCAGAACTAGCTGGGCTACAGCAGGTGCAGCGGTCAAAACCCAGGGGCGGGCGGGGTGGCTCTCTACGTGACTCTCCTCAAGCGATCCCCAAGTCACCATCAAGTGAACAGACTCCCTGGGTGTCCACTCAGTCTCACCTTGCGTCTGACCTTAGGAGGGAGAGTTTAGACTCAAAGGAGTAGAGGAGCAGTGACATAGCCAAACAAAGCAAGAGACAAAAAAACAAAAAACCCCGAAAACAACACAAACAAAACAAAGAGGCAAAGCAAAACAAAAACACAAGGAAAGGAAGAAACAAGCGATGCAGAGGCACAGGCGGAAAACAGGATTCTGGTCTTTAAAATGCTTAAGGTTTAACAGCTTTTCAACATTGAAAAATAATAATCAAAGGGCACACAGCCTGGTTTTAGAGTGGGACTTTTGTCTTTTCTTCCCTTGGGTCAAAGGTCAAAGGAAAAACCAAAAGGAAAAGCTAACCACCGTGGGTTAGGGCGGAGGCCGCATGCTCTCTTGTGGTCATCTTAGCAAATCATGCATCCTAAGAGACTCTCACTCACTGCCCACAGTAGGAGATGATGCGGCAGCAGCAGCATAAGTGGTGGGGGAGGTTCTGACTGGCACAACTGACACATAGGACGAGCTAGGACCCAGTTTTACGTCAAGGTGCTGCCCCATGGTCTGGCACCTTAGGACTCCCTTAATAGAGGCTCCCGTCTGGAATGTGTTGATTACTTTGATCTGCAAAGAATCAGAGAGTGAGACAGCTTTGCTCCACAGTCAGAGAGAGGGTAGGAGAGTGAGGGTGGCAGTGGGGGGCTGGGGATGGGCACAGGAGCTAGAGAGAGAGAGAGAGAGAGAAGGAGAGTGGCTCACACACAGCAGTGGTGAGGGGAGGGGGGTGCTCATTGCATATGGCACTTCAGTTAAGGAACAGTTTACCATGGAGCCAAATCCCCGCTCAGGACTCAGAGCCCGGCTGTGCTGGGCATCTGAGTGTGCAGGTGTCCTTGCGTCTTCAGAGCTCAAAGCGGGCTGCCCCGCCTCCGGCCCTCCTTGCACTAGGCAGGGCCTGGAGCCTGCGCATCGTCCTGACCCAGCACCTGCACCAAGTCAAGCGGCAGCCTCTGTTTGCAGGTTCTCCAGGGAAATAACTCACGTGTTTCAGGAAAAACCCAGGGGGTGTGGCAGGCCGTACAGAGGCGGCCGGAGTGGAAAGGCGCCCGAACCCGAGACTCCTGGGATTACGGAGTCTCCTGGGATCCCCTTTCCCCAGGCTGAGGGGGACAGGGCCCGTGTGCCCGTGGCCAGGGAACGCGCTGGAGTTCCTGAGTGTCCAGCAGTTAGCCCGCGGTATGGCAGCCGAGGCTCCAGGCCTGTGCCAACGTCTCCTCATGGGCAGGGCAGTGAATGCATTCACTCCCCAACAAGGGCCTTGATCTGCCTTGGTCACCCCTGACCCGAGGGAACAAGGCACAAACCAGAGGGAAGTCCCTGCTCTGCCGTGCACCTGCAGGAATCGTGCCTGGCGCGCCCACACGCCTAACACCGAGGGTCATCTACTGGGGCCACGGGAAAGGTGCTGCCTCTCTCGCCCGCCACACCTCCCCGGGAGTGGAGGCCGGAAAGAGGGCACCTTGTGACCAAAGGGTTGTTCTCATGGTGGGGGAGGGCAGCCTTCAAAAAGCTCATGGAAAATGCAAATGATTAAAAAACATGATGCATGGATAACAAGATTTTTTGCACCAAAATAAACGTTACCTTTTAATTCCACTTTCCACAAACTTTTTGAAGTACCTTTGCATTTATGAAGCTTCCTGAGAAGCCGTGAAGTGTTCTGGGTTGGTTTCTGGATTCGGATTCCAGGGAACTGTGGGAGGGCAGGCCTGGCACAGGGGAGGTTCCAGTTCCATGGGGGCGGGGTGCTGCAGGGACCCCCTAACTCAGTACTCATTCGGGCAGCTGAGTCCCAACCTTGACAGTGAAACTGGACGCCAGCTCACCTTCCCAAGACTCTAGCCCTTAAGTTTCTCAAAACTTCTGCTTTCTAGAGCTTTCAGAGTTCAGGGAGAATAATCTAGAACCAGGACTGGATAACAGCTTGGCAGCACCTCCAGTCGCCAGGGGTGGCGAGGACCATGGCAGTGAGAAGCAACTGGCTGGCAGGGATCCTGTTAGCACCTCCTGGGGCCGAGGGTTTGGAGCCACGAGGGGACACACAGCTGCTCACAGGGGCAGGTGCCCGAGGGGGTGGCATGGCTGTGGTCACTGCAGCATTCCTGGCCGGTTGTTTCTGTGGCCCACACTGCCTGGTGCTCCAACAGAGAAAGGTCGTAGGCCAAAGCCAGGCAGCCAGTGCCACCAGAGAGGTGCACGGTCAAGGGGACAGAGGCTGGCAGTGGAGGGAGAGGAGGACCCGGGGGCCTCAGCCCCCCAGGAGAGGAGACGGGCAAGGAGGGAGCAAGGAGGCACTGCAGTGAGGGGCTCCTAGTTAGGAAAACAACCACGCAATGGAAGAGGAGGCGGGTGTTCCTGAAGGGAAGAAAAGCAAAGAAAGGTTATTTTGGAAAAGAGTAGACCCCTGGGAAAGCATGGGGGGCAGAGATGGGAGCCGAGGGCACCAGGTTCTAGGGGCAGTTGACGGACTCGGCAGCTGGTGGCTGGGGTGGGCACCGTGCACACCCTCAGGGGCCTGTGCGGGTCCCGCTGGGGTGCCCCTCTCTGGGAGGAGGACTCGAGTGAGGGGAGAGCAGCCACAGGGCTCCCCTGCCCGGCCCTCATCCACTTCCCCGTCTGCCGTCTTGCCCGTGGGAGGCCCGGTCCTGCTGGGTGTGTGGCTGGACATTTGCGTCTGCTGGGAGGCAGGCCGCACCGGGGACCTCTCTGAGCCAACTGCAAGGCCAGATTCGAGGCTGAGTGTGATTTTTGGGATCAGCGGAGGGAGACAGGCCCAAGACGGGGAACCCCCGGATCTGCACAATAAGAAGTCTGGGGTGACGGCAGGGAGAGGCCGAACGGACCAGCCCGATCCAGAAGGCAGCCTCGGCTGCTGCGTGGATGGTGGCGGGAAAGAAGCCACGCCGAGGTGACAGGCAGGGACTTGGGAGCAGCAGCAGAAACCGCTTCGTAATCCCATTTCAGAAATGGCAAAAGGGGAAGAGGTTTGAAGAATTGACAGCTTCTTCCTTTTCGAGAAGCAAGCCGGAATCCTGCAAGAGACGCTCGGCATGGGGACGCTGCAGTCACAGGGTGTGAGGTCTGAGTGGGAGGTCAGGGCTTGAGTTGGTTTTCCTGAGATCCCTCCGGAGAACGGCGATTCCCGTAACGGCAGGCAGCGCGGGGGGCACCACGTGGCCTGCGGGGGATGCTGGCCCAGGATCTAACTTCCTCCTCCGCAGGGGCAGGGACACTGCCCAGTTTCCACCCTGGGGTCTGGTCCAGTGCTTGCAGGAAGCTTGCCCATCCAACAGAGGGCGGCAGAGAGCGCTCGAGCCCCAGCCCGCAGCTCGCAGGCTTGGCAGACAAGGTCCCAGGGCCCAGGCCCCCGGACTCCCTGCCTCCCACGGCTGCCCACGCAGAAACCCCCATCTCTGTCCTGGAGCTCGGGAGCTGGGGCTGCCCTGGCCCGGGGAGAGAGGCCGGCCGCCTGCCACCCTCTCCCAGCATGGGGTGGTGTCCTCCCCCGGGGCGAGCAGAGACCACGAGCGGAGTACCTGGGTCTGGATCCGGTTCAGGCCCCGGAACCAGAGGATCTGGCCTGGGCGCAGCTCCATCTCGGCGTGGTCGATCGCATCCAGCCCCTCGGCATCCTTGCTGATCTCCTCCTTGGTGGTGCTGTGCCCGGCCTCCTTCAGGAACTTCAGGGATTGCGTGGGTATCGCAGAGATGATCTGAGGACGAGAAGAGCCGTCACCTCGTGGGGGCCACCTCGTGGGGGTGAGAGGATGTGGGAGGAGCTGGGCACGTGGTATGCGCACGGCCAAGGCGCAGGGAAAAGGCCTGGGTGAGAAGGATCTTCTGGGTTCCCACTCCCACCGCAGCCTGTGTGGTCAACCTCGGGGAGGGGGTACTCCACGCTTCCACGGCGTGCAGCGCCCGAACAGACTATGTGCGACTCAGAACAAGTCACTGGGCGAGCTGGGGGCGTGGGCAGGTGGGGCTGGCACCGCGTGCTGAGAGGGAGGAACACTTGGGCTTTGTGCTGCGATGCTGGGAGGGGCTGGGGGCTTCCGAAGGAAAGCTGCTGCGTGGCATCAAGGCCCGGGGGTGGCCCCACGGGGGATCAGCAGCAAGGGAGCAACACAAGGGGCCGGCAGCAGGGCAGCCTGGGGCCCGGGGTGCTGCTGTGTTCCAATACACACAGAGGAAGAACTCTCCTACTCCTAAGAGCCTCGATTAGAAACCACAAGGACTGGGTGCGGTGTTATGGAGCAGGGGGTAAAAGCCATCGCCTGCCACACCAGCATCCCACATGGACGCAGCTTCCTGTCTCGGTAGCTCCACTTCTGACCCAGCTTCCCTGCTAATGGCCTGGGAAAAGCAGAGGAAGATGGCCCAGGTGTTGGGCCCCTGCCACCTATATGGGAGCCATGGAAGAAGCTCCTGGCTGCGGGCTTCAGTCTGGCCCAGCCCTGGCCACTGTGGCTATCTGGGGGAGTGAAGCAGTGGATGGAGGATCTGGCTCCCTCTCTCTCTGTAACTCTTTCAATAAATAAATCAATCTTGAAAGACAGAGAAAGAGAGATATCTCTTCTATGCACTGTTTCACTCCCCAAATGTGTGCAACCAGTTGGGCAGGGCAGGGCTCAAGCCAGGAGCCTGGAACTCCATCCAAGTCTGCCTCCTGGGTGGCAGGGGTCCAGGTACCTGGGCCTTCATCCGCGGCCTCCCAGGGCGAGCACTGGCCGGAAGCGGAGCCAGGCCTTGAAGCCGGTGCTCTGATACAGCAGGTGGGCTGCATCAAACACGGCCCCAGACCCTTTGTTTCTCTACAGCTGAGTTCCACCGCAAAGTCCCACGCCCGCCTCAGGAAGCTCAGGGATCTGCCTGTGCCCAAGCATGGTTAGAGAGGAAGCCAGGAGTTTCCGACGTGCGGCCCCCAATGCTTTCACCCCGGACGACGGAGGGGATTCGAGGACTTGGGTGAGGAGAGGGGAGGGGAGGGGAGGCTGAGGGAAGCTGGGAGCCCCCGCGGGTGCTCGTCCCGTCTCACGCAGAGGAGAGGGGTCTGCAGGCCCTGCAAACGCGTGGGGAAGGCACGCGGCTACTCACCTGGCCCCACAGGAGTTCTCCGATCCCAAAGAAGAGACACCACAGCCACTGCGACAGGCTGAGCTTTGTGCAGCTGAAGGGCTTGCCCCCAAATTCCACAAGGAGAACCTAGAACAGAGAGCGGGCGGCCCTCTAGGCAGGGCCCCAGACGCCAGGGCTCCCCCTGCCCTCACCAGGAGTTCTGGTTGGCTCGCTGAGGGAGGAGAGGGAAGCCTGGAAGGGGAGGTGGGGAGGCGGGGAGGTGGGGAGAGGGGAGGCAGGGAGAGTCCACAGAGCAGCTGGACGGGCAGGCAGGCACACGTACTGTGCTCCTGACTCCTGTAAGGTCAGAGCAGGGGCGTGGGGGCGTCCTGGGGCTAAAGCCAGTGGGCGACCAGGAGAGTGCACAGCATGGAGGGGGGGCAGTGAGGGAGGGACCCTGCTGAGGCTGTGGCTGGACAGGGGGCTCCCAGTCTTTGGTACCCCCAGAGGGCAAGGAGGAAGCCTACACCTTGCTTGCAGGCATGCTACGTTGCCAGGAGGCACGGAGGTGGGCTGGAACAGCCTGACCGTCCCCTGGTCACTCTGTGGAATGGACGTGTACTTAGGAAGGTAACAAAAGGATAAATCTTGTCTTATTTGCATGCAACACGTTGCCTTGCGCTGGAGCACTGGGCACACTGGGCTCCCGTTCTATAGCGAGGTGCGAGAGGAGGTTAACTGGGAGCCCCAAGTGCTTGTCCTGTGGCCGCAGCCCCACCAGCTGCTCCCTTACTCCCTCTCCGAAGTACTTAGGGCGTCCTGGCTCCCAGCCTGTGGTCCCTGCCCCCGCCCGGCTCCCGATGGGCCCTCACCTGGCTGATGAACGTGCCCAGGACCACCGAGCAGAAGATGAGGTTGTGGTAGATGCCGGCGAACACGTTCCTCTCCCCGTGGATCTTGCGGGAGTTGATCTCGTTGAAGAGCTGCATCAGCAGGAAGGTTCTGAAGACGATGGTGTAGTGCTGGCTGGGCAGCGAGTGGAGCGGGGCCTTCCTCCCACTGTGGATGTGGAAGAACTTCTCACCTATGGGGCGAGGGCAGGCTGAGTGGGAACACGCTGGCATGGCTACCCAGGGAGCTCATGGCTCGTGTGCACCCCAGGTGGGCAGCAGCTGAGCTGTCCTGGCTCCTGCCTACTTTAACAGCCAGCCCTGCACTCAGCCTGCCTGCCTGGAATCTCTCGTTTGTTCCATTGTATCTATCTGCCTTCTGGTGAAAATGAAGCCGACCACAGTAGGGCTGACATAGTTTTGCATTTTAGGGCCCCTACAGACTCGTCCTAGACTCATCGTCTGTATGACCTGAGCCACAGTGTTCTCCCGCGATGGAAAGGTGTAAAAACCCACCCTTGTGAAATTCTTCAGTGCGCCGGGCAGCGGCAAGGCAGGCAGTGCTCAGCAGGAGGCGCCATCACTCCGGATCTGTGTCACCTCTTTCCAGGGGCCATTCTTGGCCTCCATCTCCCTCCAGCACCCCCATCGCTGCCCCAGCCCCCGGCCCTGGCTCACCAGCAAACACCAGGAAAAAGATGACGGCGAGCTGATAGACGGCGTGGCCCAGGATGTTCTTCATCATGGTCCGCGAGATCAGGGGCTTGTTGCGGCCGTGGGGCGCCACCTTAGCAGCGCGTCGGTGGGGGACTCGGTGGCCAGGGCCAGCGAGGCGAAAGTATCCTTGATCAGGTTCACCCACAGCATCTGCACGGCTTTCAGCGGGGAGTCCTGGTGGGAGGAAGGTGCAGTCCCTTCAGCTTGCCCCAGGAGCGGCCCCTGCCTACTCAGGAGACCCCCTAGCGCCCTCGAGCTGGGTGGCCTCGCTCCCACTGTCCACCTAGACTTCTAATCTGGCCGTGCTGTAGAAATGCACCTAACCTCCGGGCAGCAGATGGGGCCGGTGACACCGCCCTGGCACGGCAGTTCTTGGAGAACGGACATGGTGCACCCTCGTGTTGGTGCCCATGGTGCTGGTCAGCACATCAGAGCTATGAAGGGTGGACAGTTTACCTTCACTGGAGACAGTCGGCCCGGGGCTCCGACTTCGTGGGGACGCCCGGCGTATGGCGTGCTCCCCGGCCCCTGCCATGTCTCCCTCATCTGAGCCCACCCCAGGCCCCACTCACCTGAGTGATGCAGGCGCCCGTGAAGACCACGATCATGGCCACCACGTTGATGGTGAGCTGGAACTGCAGGAACTTGGAGATGCTGTCGTAGACGTTCCGCCCCCACATCACGGCCTTGACGATGCTGGTGAAGTTGTCGTCGGTGAGGATGATGTCCGAGGCTTCCTTTGCCATGTCTGCCATGTCTGTGCCTGCAATCCCCTGGGTGGGGGGGTGGGGGGGGAGGCGGGAGGGAACCCAGTGAGGGCCTGGGCACCTCCAGAAGCCAGACTCCACTTCCTGATGGCCAAGAAACTTCCAAGCTGGGTGTGAACACTGGAGGGCCCCACAGAGGAAACGGGGGGGGGGGGTGACACGCTGTGCTAGGGTCCCTACAGAGAGGGGCGGAGAGGGAGGGAGCCCATTCTCCCTGCCTAGGCCTGTTGGGAGCACAACTACGCAAAAGCAAAGTGGCTCGATGGCTTCACGGAACCTGATGTGCAGCCCTAGCAAATATACCTGTGGGCGGAAGACCTGGAAGAAGGCAGCCAGCTGGCTTTAGCTGACTCAGTGGATCAGTATTGTTACTGCTGTTTGGAAACGATGACATATATTTTAGGATAAAGCGAATAATGATTATGTTAATGCCACGACGAGTCAAAGTGTGGAGGGTACGACATACAAATATAAAACCAGGGGGAGTCAAATCAAACCAGCAGGGTAGAAACTGGGAAGTGAGAATTCTCTGTTCCGAATGTGAAGGGGAGCTTTTTTTTTTTTTTTTAACTTGAAATATTCTTGAAAATAAACAAGGGCAAAACCCAACAGGAGACAGTAAGAGCGTAACTCTTGGCTTTGCCTCCGAGAAGGCCTGGAAGCAAGGAACACCCTCTGGCTCCGGCTCTGTTCCCCACTGAACGGGAGGGGGACTCCCAGGAGAAACGTGTGATGCCGGGGCACAGGCTCAGGCATCTAAGCTAAGGTTGGAGAGAGCTGTGGAGGCCCCGCAGTCAGTGGCACAGTGGCTCTGCGATGCTTGGCCGGCGTCCGGGAGCCTGGCTCTCAGAACGCTGGCAGTGAGTTAGCTGGCAAGGGAGGCGCGCTGGGTCTAGGCCTCGCCCAGACCGCATGCTTCATCTGAGCACCTGCTTCCCCCCCCGGGGGCCTGCGGTTCTGGTGCTTGCCAGGCAGGAGGGGCCTATGTGACCAGTCCTAAAAGAACTGCGTGTGCGGAGACCGGGATGGGCTGCCGGGGGCGGAAACATCACACGTGCACGTTGCGGGGGTTTCTGCAGATGGCAGGAAGAGGGGACTCCGGGAGACGCCCCGGGAGGACAGGGGCAGCCAGGCCTGGGTCCCCACACCCTGCCAGGCTCCTCCCCACATCACTGTTTATTTAAAATTTATTTATTTTTATTTATTTGAAAGGCAGAGTGACAGAGAGGGAGAGGGAGTGGGATAAGGAGAGGGAGGAGAGATTTTTTTTTAAAGATTTATTTATTCGAAAGGCAGTTACAGAGAGGCAGAGAGAGAGAGAGGCACAGAGAGAGAGAGGCACAGAGAGAGAGAGAGGTCTTTCATCTGCTGGTTTACTCCCCAGATGCCCTCAATGGTCAGAGCTGGGTTGATCTGAAGCCAGGGGCCAGGAGCTTCCTCCAGGTCTCCCACGTGGGTGCAGGGGCCCAAGGACTTGGGCCATCTTCTACTGCTTTCCCAGGCCACAGCAGAGAGCTGGATCGGAAGTGGAGCAGCGGGGACTAGAACCAGTGCCCACACAGGATGTCAGTTGTCAGTACTACAGACAGCGGCTTTACTCGCCATACCACAGCATCATTCCCAGAGGGAGAGAGACAGAGAGACAGAGAGAGATCTTTCACCCACTGGTTCATTTTCCAAATGCCCACAGCAGCCAGGAACCAGGTGGAAGCCAGGAGCCATGAGCTGCATCCTGGTCTCCCGAGTGGGTGGCAGAGACCCAAGCACTGAAGCCATTATTTCTGCTGCCTCCCAGGGTGCACGTTATTACCAAGCAGCCAGATTGGACGGGGAGGTTAGATTTGACCCCAGGTTCTCTGGTATGGGAAGCAGGTGTCCCAAGCACAGGCTCAACCCCCTGAACCACAACACTTGCCTCAGGCTATAATAAATTTTTAAAAATATTTATTTTATTTATTTGAAAGGCAGAGTTAGAGAGAGAGAGAGAGGGAGACACACACACACACACACACACACACACAGGTCTTCCACTCACTGGTTCATTCCCCAAATGGCTGCAATGGCCAGGGCTGGGTCAAGAGCCATGAGCTTCTTCTGGGTCTCCCACGTGGGTGCAGGGGCCCCAGCTACCTTCCCATAGCATGGGCAGGGAGCTGGATGGGATGTGGAGCCAACCAATACGTTTGGGGATCCAAGTATTTGGGCCATTTCTTGTTGCCTTCCCAGGCGTATTAGCAGGGAGCTGGATTGGAAGTGGAGCAGCCGGCCTGGGCCTGGCCCAGCCCCTGCCATTGCAGCCACTTTGGATGGAAGCTCTCTCTTCTCTGTAACTCTTTTAAAGAAATAGATAAATAAAATCTTTTTTTTTTTTTTTTGACAGGCTGAGTGGACAGTGAGAGAGAGAGACAGAGAGAAAGGTCTTCCTTTTTGGTTGGTTCACCCTCCAATGGCTGCTGCGGCCGGCGCACCGCGCTGATCCGAAGCCAGGAGCCAGGTGCTTCTCCTGGTTTCCCATGGGGTGCAGGGCCCAAGCAATTGGGCCATCTTCCACTGCACTCCCGGGCCACAGCAGAGAGCTGGCCTGGAAGAGGGGCAACCAGGATAGAATCCAGCGCCCTGACCGGGACTAGAACCTGGTGTGCTGGCACCACAAGGCGGAGGATTAGCCTACTGAGCCACGGTGCCGGCTGTTTTTATTCTTATTCATAAATTGTTAGCGTACATTTTTGCAATGTTAGTAGTCAAGAAGTTTATACATGGTACCAAAAAGGAAATAAAATTAGATTATGCTCAGTTTATAAATCACCTGATCCTAATCAAATTCTAAATGTATTGTGGAATAAAGCCCAGATTTCTATTGGTAAGGTTTTATTTAAAGTTTCATGAACTATCCTCATCATTCTATGTTAGTATCAGGGAAATAAACAGGACTCTGATATTATTTATACCCATTAAGGGAACTGTGAAAATCTTGATATGCTGACAAATTGCACCCTCCAGTGGAAAAAATACTTATCCATAAAAATTTTGTGTTTCTGCATCTCAGCTTTGATACAGTCAAAGCCTCCTGCCTAAAATGTTTAAAAATGTTATGTTTTATGACTTGAACTAATGTTTATCCCTATTGAATACAAATTATACTTCCTGGATTACAATTCTGTAATGTGAATGAGAGGTTAAATGTTAGAAAAGTAAGAGTTTTAATGTAGCTTTTTGAAAAGAAAAGTAAAAGACAAAACTGGACCATATAAATATGCATATATTAAATATTTTCTAAAATAATATATACTGGATTATGTATTTAGTATAGAAATACATTAGGTCGGCGCCGCGGCTCAATAGGCTAATCCTCCGCCTTGTGGCGCTGGCACACCGGGTTCTAGTCCCCGTTGGGGTGCCGGATTCTGTCCCGGTTGCCCCTCTTCCAGGCCAGCTCTCTGCTGTGGCCAGGGAGTGCAGTGGAGGATGGCCCAAGTGCTTGGGCCCTGCACCCGAATGGGAGACCAGGAGAAGCACCTGGCTCCTGGCTTCGGACCAGCGCAGTGCACCGGCCATAGCATGCTGGCCGCAGCGGCCATTGGAGGGTGAACCAACCAAAAAGGAAGACCTTTCTCTCTGTCTCTCTCTCTCTCACTGTCCACTCTGCCTGTCAAAAACAAAAATAAAAAATAAATATATTAGATATAGCAATACCTCTTTATATGAATGGATTGTGTTGCTATATTAACAACTTTCATTTGTATTACAATGGACTAAGGTTTGGGTTGGAAAGATCTGTAGTTGCTCAATATTGCAAAGGCTTTTAAAAACTGGTTAACCAAAATTGAAGCATCATAGAATCCTGTCCTAAATTGAACAGAGGAGGAATACAAAAGTAAAAAAACACTTTTGAGCCATGTGACCGGATCAATGCTCAGTGCTTAGATACATTGATTCATCTCCCCCTCCCTTTTTACAGTGACCAAAATAAGCTGCTTCTGGGTCCCAGATTTATTTATTTGTTTATACTGAACTCCTCCTGCTGACAAAGGAAAATGAGTATAGACTGTGACAATCATGAAGGTATAGACCACTGCAATAGCCTATAAGCAAGAAATGTTTTTATTTAAAAAAAAAATCAGGCAAATATTTCATGCTACTTCAAAACACAGTTTGTACTTTTTTCCAGTGTAAGCAATGTTAATATTAGTAAAATTATTTTTCCAAAAGAGCTGAAACACTGACCACATCTGTGTTTTTCACTTTAGTCTGAAAAGTATTAAGAGCCAACTCTAACAGAACATGATGAGATATGTTTTGAATACAAATCAACCTGACTCCAAAACTGAACTCCTTCCACAAAATTCTACAGCTATTGACCCCTTGCTCTGTTTCTGCTTGCTATGAATCAATGACTCTCTGTCAACTCAGGCGCAGGCATCACCTATCCTGAGGTCTCTTTCTAATGTCTCTGTTTCCCAGAAATGTCCACTTCTCTGGCTTTCCTCTCTCCACCACAGCATGGCCATTCAAAATGTTCTCTGTTCTCCTAAGGAAGTCTGCTCTGACATTTCCTTTATATACCTGGCACACTGTAAGCAAAATGAATGTCTGGTAGTCCAACTGAGACTGTCTCTTAATTATTCCTCAATATGTTCTTTTAAGGACTTACAGGTGTCTTCCTTATAAAGAATTTTGTTAAGAAATGATATTTTCATCTTGTGTTACCACTTTGCCAAACATTTGCTGTCCTTAGTAAATCAATCTAAGTCTTTTACTGACCACCCCATCACCACCACATAAACACACAATATTTATCTTCATTTCCTAAAGCTCTTATAGCCCATGGCCTAATTCTGGCACCCTTCCCACTCCCTCACTTCCTTTGATCTGATATCACCTTGCTTGGGAAGCTCCCATCTGGAACCAGCCTAGGCAGGCACTGCTGGGGACAGTGTGTTCTTGTCCCCTTGAATGCCTTCCTCATCCCAATTCAACATTTTTGTATTGTCGAGTGCAAGTTTTATCTCTACTTCCTTTACATTATTTATTTACTTTACTTGCTTATAAATTTTCTTCATTTTACTTAGTTTCTACTTTTTCCTTTTCTTAAAGTCGTAACTCCCCACTTTGTAAGCTTTCATCTTACTGCTTTTACTCTTTAACCTGTTACTATGTCCTTTTTACTCTTTTCTTTACCCATTTTACTTCATCTTTTAAATAGGTCACATTCACAATGCAGAGTGTCTCTCATGTCAAGTGGAGGAAACATATTTATCAAAAGATGCATTAATAAACTAAAATATTGGCCGGCGCCATGGCTCAATAGACTAATCCTCCGCCTGCAGTGCTGGCACACTGGGTTCTAGTCCCGGTTGGGGCGCCGGATTCTGTCCCAGTTGCTCCTCTTCCAGTCTAGCTCTCTGCTGTGGCCCGGGAGTGCAGTGGAGGATGGCCCAAGTGCTTGGGCCCTGCATCCCATGGGAGACCAGGAGAAGCACCTGGCTCCTGGCTTTGGATCAGCGTGGTGCGCCGGTCACAGTGCACTGGCCACAGTGGCTATTGGAGGGTGAACCAATGGAAAAGGAAGACCTTTCTCTCTGTCTCTCTCTCTCACTGTCCACTCTGCCTATCAAAAATTAAAATAAAAATAAACTAAAATATTAAGTGCTAGAAAGAGAGGCAGGTGGTTTATGAGAGCAGATGACAGGGTGATTAGCCTACTCAGAGAAGTTAACAAACTTTCCCTAAAGAAGAGATGAACTCAGATATCAAAAAGAATGAAAATATGTGAGTGCGTGAATGCCACAAACAGAGGGGATGCTACACCATCATCTTTTGAGAGAAGATTTGTAAGAAGTGATGAAAGGCATTGTGGCTGGAGCAACAGAGAGGGAAGCATGACGGGTGATTTGGAGAAAACTGGAGTTTGAATTGTAAAGGTTTTGTTCAGAATTTTGGTGTGTATCTTAAAGTCAAATGGAAATAATTCAGACATCATAGCAAAAGTAAGAACAGTGTGGAAAGACTGGCATTTGAATTCTTACTGTGGTACTTAGCAGCTGTGTGACATGCCTTAGGCAACTTTCCCAATCTTTTTGCCTCATCTATGAAATGGCAATAATAACAGCTGTTTACAGTAGCAGTTGTGTAGGAAACAGTGATCACAATGAAAGATTAGCTTTATGGAGAATGTTCCTTGCACTAGACACTGTTTTCAGGGACTCATGAATCACTTATTTAAGTTCCATATGATGTGAGCACTATTACTAACATTCTGTTTTTCAAATCAGGAAAATGAGGTACAGACATCTAGCAAGGTAAACACAATAGCTAATAAATGGTGAAGGAGGCTGGCGCTGTAGTGTAGCAGGTGAAGCCACTGCCTGCAGTGCCAGCATCCTATGTGGGCACTGGTTCATATCCCAGCTGCTCTACTTCTAATCCAGCTCTCTGCTATGGCCTGGAAAAGCAGCGGTAGATGGCCCAAGTCCTTGGCCCGTGCACCCACATGGGAGACCCAGAGGAAGCTCCTGGCTCCTGGACTTGGATCAGCACAGCTCTGGCCATTGCAGCCAATTGATGAGTGGACCAGTGGATGGAAGACTTCTCTATCTTTCTCTCTATGTTTCTCTACCACTCCTTCTCTCTCTCTGTAACTCTTTCAAATAATCTTTAAAAGAATGGTGAATACCTACTTCATGGTATTTTGTGAAGATTAAAAGAGCCAATAAACTTAAAGTAGTATCACAGAGCACATGGTTAATATTAGTCATATTGGAGATTATTGTTTCAAATGAAATTATGAGTCATTTTTTTAACTTTTATTTAATGAATATAAATTTCCAAAGTACAGCTTATGGATTACAATGGCTTCCCCCCCATAACGTCCCTCCCACCCGCAATCCTCCCCTCTCCCACTCCCTCTCCCCTTCCATTCACATCAAGATTCATTTTCGATTCTATGAGTCATATTTTTAAGAATAACTTGTTTATTGACTAATGGATTCATTGATTGGGGAGGTAGACAGAGAGACAGAGGGAGAGAGAAAACAAGCTCCCATGCTCTTGTTCACTTCTCCAAATACCCACAATTGCTGCGGCTAGAGCAGTCCAAAGCTGGGAGCCAGATACTCAATCTAGGTCTCCCACAGAAGTGGCAGACACCAAACTATTAGAACTACTATATGTTGCTTCCCAGAGTATGCATTAGCAGGAAACTAGAATCAGGAGTGGAACCCATACTTGAACCCAGGTACTCCTATATAAGATTTGGACATGTTGATCAACATGTTAACCATTGGGCCAAACATTCGCCTCTGGGTCAGATTTTTTTAAAGACACTGTATTTTGCATTATTCCATTTATTCAATATTTTTTAACTTTTATTTAATAAATATAAATTTCCTAAGTACAGCTTTTGGATTACAGTGGCTTCCCCCCCCACATACCTTCCCTCCCACCCGCAACCATCCCATCTCCCACTCCCTCTCCCATCCCATTCATATCAAGATTCATTTTCAATTATCTTTAATTACAGAAGATTGACTTAGTATATATTAAGTAAAAATTTCAACAGTTTGCACCCACACAGAAACACAAAGTGTAAAGTACTGTTTGAGTATTAGTTATAGCATTAATTCACACTGTAGAACACATTAGGACAGAGATCCTACATAATGAGCAAGTACACAGTGACTCCTATTGTTGACTTAATAATAATTGACACTCTTGTTTATGGAATCAGTATTTACCCTAGGCTCTTGTCATGAGTTGCCAAGGCTATGGAATCCTTTTGAGTTCACCAACTCTGATCTTATTTAGACAAGGTCATAGTGGAAGTTCTCTCCTCCCTTCAGAGAAAGGTACCTCTTTCTTTGATGGCCCATTCTTTCCGCTGGGATCTCACTCATAGAGATCTTTCATTTAGGTTTTTTTTTTTTTGCCTTTGTCCTGACTGTCAAGTGATCCCTGTTAAATATAAGAGTGGGAATAAGAGAGGGAGGAGATGTACAGTTTGGCACATGCTCAATCGGACTTGCCCCAAATGGTAGAGTTAGAAACATGCCAGGGGATTCCAATTCAATCCCATCAAGGTGGCATTATTTTTCCCCAAGAAACCTTTTATTTGAAGAATACAAGCTTCGTACATTTCATGATTACATAACTTTAAGAACATGGTGATTCTTCCCATTGTATTTTTCTTTATGACAGTTTTATGAGATGAAGAGCTTGAATGCCACCTTACAACTATGCCTTCCTTACTTGGTTTTGCTCTAAAGATCAGAGAGTAAATGTCTTTCTCCCAAATCACTAGAAGCTGCCCTCATTCCTTATGTATGGCAGCTGACACTCACAGAGCGCCCTCAAGGAGCCTGTAGGCCCTCCAGTTTTGGCCTCAGCACAGATCACTGTTAATCTCTTGACTGCTATGACATCTGAGTCCCTGTTTTATAAAACTGTCATTGTCCTACTTCAAATAAACAGACTTTGTATCACTTTGAATCATAACTAGTCAGTAGCAAGAGTAAATATCACATCAGGATTTATGGTAAATTTTGATCCCACTAATGTAAAACTTTAGATGTTACATTAGCTTAAAGGTAAAACAGGAGCTCAAATTCAGCAAGAAAGAGTATTATGGTACCCTTTTGGCTTTTCAATAACATATACCTGACAATCTCTAACTAGGTTATTTATCCATTAGTATTTATTGACTTATCAGAATCTAGACATTTTATTAGTAATTAAGATTACAGTAGCAATGGGATTAATATGCCTCCTGTCCTCAAAGATATACTTTTTAGTGCTATATGTGAGCTAGCCAAGCAACCATGCAATATAAGAAATATAATGTTGTGACAGAAAATAAATAGAGCATTGTAGGTTTCTCCCAGGAGAAAATGCCTAATCTAAAACTATCTGAATCTAAAATATTAATGGAACTTCACCAAACTGGAGGTCAAGTGATAACATATTGGAGGAAGAATATTCTAAGGAAAGGAAACTGTACATTCAGAAGGTCAGAGGGGGGAAAAAAGAGCACGCTATTAAGTCTAAGAACTTTTGAAATATTTCAATTCTTGGCTTATAGAATTAAGTAAAACCTAACAGGTAATTCAAGGGTATCAAAATCAAAGTAAATATTACCATTATAAGGAAAAATGTAGATATAGGTTCTGGTGGATTAAACTGTTATATTCTTTATCGTCACATACCATTAACATAAATGATGTATGACTAAAATAATGGGAAAGTTTCAAGATGCCATCAATGTTGGAGTCTTGTCAGTATACCAGCATATTTTCAATAACAATTACTTAGAAAAGGTAGTTGGTCTAGAACATAGTATCTTTGGCCAGACTTTCATTTATCTCTGTTCCCGTGTAAGTACCTTGAGGTAGGATGAAAAGAATTCAGTGAAGGGTCAAATCTCTAGGTAGCTGGAAGATGGAGAAAACAACAAATCAGCTGTTAACCCTTTGCTTCTATGGGACATTTTTGTCCAAATGCAAATTCAGATAAAAAGTTTTCAGACGGGAACTATACTAACCCCACTTAACACAAGATCATAATTGACTAGTAAAATGCTTAGATTCTGGCAATAGAGCCGGCGCCGTGGCTCAATAGGCTAATCCTCCACCTTGCGGCGCCGGCACACCGGGTTCTAGTCCCGGTTGGGGAGCCGGATTCTGTCCCGGTTGCCCCTCTTCCAGGCCAGCTCTCTGCTATGGCCAGGGAGTGCAGTGGAGGATGGCCCAGGTGCTTGGGCCCTGCACCCCATGGGAGACCAGGAAAAAGCACCTGGATCCTGGCTCCTGCCATCGGATCAGCGCGGTGCGCCGGCTGCAGCGGCGGCCATTGGAGGGTGAACCAACGGCAAAGGAAGACCTTTCTCTCTCTCTCTCTCACTGTCCACTCTGCCTGTCAAAAATTAAAAAAAAAAAAAAAGATTCTGGCAATAAGTAAATGAATATTTTTGAATAAATAGACTAATTGAAGGTTGTCAAATACAAATCAGAGACTTCAACAGCATACTAGAATAGCATTTCTTGCTGATAGTCATCTATTTTCCCCTTAATTAGTTATGATTGCTAATTAATTTGGACAGTAAGTACACATAGATATTTTGAAGATAATATTTATCTGATTAAAGACATTTCCCTCTATTGTATTTTAAGTAGTTTTCAAAGCATTATTAAACTTCATCAAAAGTTACTTTTGAATTTCCTGAGAAATTTGTATGCCTTTCCCCTCTTATTTTATTATTTAATTACAACTGATTTTTTCAAATTACAAACCAAGTATTCCTGGAATAAACTCGACTTGATCAAAAACATATTATGCTTTTATATACTTTTTTATTATTTTACTGCTTATTTGATTTGTTGGTATTTGTATTTATGTACATAAAATATTATTCTATACTTTTCCTTTCTTATAATATCTTTGTTGGGTTTATCATCAAGGTTATAGTGGCATCACAAAGTGATATGGAAAACACTATCTTTTTTATCATCTCTGGAATAGTTTTTGTAAGACTTATTGATCATTTTTTCCCTTATACATTTTAGAGGATTTTTATGTAAATCCATGCAGGCCTGGTATTCCTTTCTAGGGGAGTTTTGATCTGTAGGTTCATTTTCTTTAATATGTATGGAACAATTTATCTTTCCTATCCCTATCTGGGTGAATTTGAGAAAGTTGAGCTTTTTTTAGGAATATGCCAATTTCAAACAAATTTTCCATTATATTGGCATGACCTTTTAAAATATATTATTTTATTATCTTTTTATTTTTATAGTTTCCATAATAATGTCATATTTTTCATTCTGAGCAGTTATTTCTTTTTTAATTAGTCTTCTTAGGTTGTTTTAACCACAACCCAGTGAAGAGAAATCCTATTAGTTATCTTCATCAGAGGTTTTTTAATATAAGTGCTTCATGACTAGATTTCAAAGAACTGAAAGGGCAAAAAAACACTAAAGGGGCCTCTCAGGGTTGAAACTCAGGTCTTTGTGAGGGGACAACGGTTAGCTCATGTTCACTTTCTGAGCTTGGAGGAGGAATGCGACGACTTGATACCCAAATCGTGGAGAGCAGTGCCTGTTACAGCTGCTGTTTCTGAGGGCATGAGAATGGTTATGTAAGAGTTTGAAAATGTGCCAGTTGTGTTTAATTGCAGCTACCTGCCAGGGTGAAGGAGGAGGCTGGGAAAACTGATAGGACCAGGAATCAAACAGGATGGAACTTACCCATTTTCCTTATTTCCAGCTCTATTTTCTTCCATTGGCAGAATCTAACAGGGGGCCAGACCATGAAGATGAATTCCAGCCCCAGCTTCATAATGCAGGGTCCTGGAGGGTGGGTTGGAATAGAGAATAGCTCAATAAATGGCACATAGGAAGAGAAGTCTTTCGATGGATCTATCAGTTTTATTAGTTTTCTATTCCTATAAAATACTCTTGAACCTCTCTATTAAACAGCTGTTTCTAATTTTATTGATGCCTGTGCTTTTTTGTTGCCATTCTTCTACACTCTTTGGAGTTTTTATTCTCCCCAATAATTTCTTGAATGACTGCCTAGCTCAAATATTGTCAGCTTTTCTCCATTTCTGCTATGTGACTTTTAAGTTAAAATTGCCCTTTAAACATGGCTTTTTTTTTTTTTTTTTTTTTGACAGGCAGAGTGGACAGTGAGAGAGAGAGACAGAGAGAAAGGTCTTCCTTTTTGGTTGGTTCACCCTCCAACGGCCGCCACGGCCAGCGCGCCATGGCCAGCGCACCACGCTGATCCGATGGCAGGAGCCAGGTACTTATCCTGGTCTCCCATGGGGTGCAGGGCCCAAGCACTTGGGCCATCCTCTACTGCACTCCCTGGCCATAGCAGAGAGCTGGCCTGGAAGAGGGGCAACCGGGACAGAATCCAGTGCCCCGACTGGGACTAGAACCCAGTGTGCTGGCACCGCAAGGTGGAGGATTAGCCTAGTGAGCCGTGGCGCCGGCCTAAACATGGCTTTAGGGATAGACACTTGTTTTAACATATATTTGAAAATTTTTATTCTGTTAAAAATATTTTCTAATCTCCATTACAGTTATTTTCTTTTGTTTATAAGCTAATTACCTATGGGTTACCCATATATTAATACATTTCCAAACATTTGAGATTCTTAATTTATGTTTTTGTCATTAACATGTTTATATATTGAGCATAAAAATTACTAATATTTTATTTAATATAATTATAAAAGCAGTATATAATGAATATAAACATTTGTATATACAAATAAAATTTATAAATACATAACTCATTTATTATAGGCACACATATTTTGAACATGGTAAGAAGGAACCCAACTACTTGAGCCATCAGTGCTGCTTCCTGGGGTCTGTATTAGCCAGGAAACTGGAGTCCATAGCCAGAGATGGCACTCCATGTGGGTAGCAAGTGTCCTAAATACAAGACTAACCATCTGCCTGTACATTTGGAGTTAAATCTATAATCTTGCTTTTTTTCCCCCTCCCTAGATGTCCTATATGCTGTTACTTCTTCCAAGTCTTCTTTCAGATTCTTTTTCCAACGTTCCATTTCTCTCCTTTAATAGGTCATTTATTAAACATTCTTTAAATTTTAGTAGTCATTCCAGAGATACAATTACCCCTGTTACTAAAATTGCATAAATTAGTCCGTTCAACACAGAAAACCCAAGATGCTGGAAATGCAATTCCATTTGACATTTCTTGCCTTTCATGTTTTTTGTTAACCTCACAGGCATTAGTAATATTGTTTTCACCCCAAATGCCAGAATCATCGCTTTGTGCTTTTTTCTTGCAGATCATAGCATTATAATTCCTATCACACAGCCTTCATAGTTCTCCCATGCATTCAAAGCAGAAGTTCTTGTTTAAAAACATTTTGTCCTAGCTGTTCTCAGCAGGAGATTGGTTTGAATCACTTAACACACCATTACTGATACTGGAACTCCTCCATGCAAATTTTTAAAAAAATTTATATGGTTGATTTAACAATTTTTCCCCTTAATTGCTTCTGAATTCTGTTTCATAGAGACCTTTCCTATTTTGCCATTATTTAAAAGTTTGTGCTTTGCTATAGTACTTTTATGGTTTCAATTTTTAGATGAAAATATTTGATCCACTTGGAATTTATTTTGATCTGTTGAGATGCACATATTTGAAGTTTTCTTTTATATAGGAAAATTTTCTATGATATGGATTTCTGAATTTTCTATTTTGTATTCTACTTCATTGTTTATCTCTGTTCATGTGCCTTTGTGAATTTCTTAATGGTTTTATTTAGGCTTGTTCTACAATATTCTACACATACATAAAGTGTATGATTTGATCTGTTAATGACATACATATATCCTTGTGAAACAATTAACAATCAAAATAGTGAACAAAAGTTTTTTTTGTTGTTGTTCTTTTATAATTTAGGACTCCTCCCTACTTCTACCTCTAGCTGTCACCAAACAGCAAACCGATTAGAATTCTGTTGTAACTTATAGTTTTGATCACATATAATGTATCCCTTTTCTCTTTTTCTCAGCAAAGCTATTTTGAGACTCCTTTGTTACTTCCATCATTAGCACCGTTCTTTTTTTAATTGTTAAGTAGTAATATTCCATTTGAACACCACTGCTTATCCATTCACTTTGATTGCTTTTGGTGTTTGGATATTATACAAGTAAACCTGCTATGAACTTTTGTATGTTAAGACTGTGTGCATATACCATTTCCTTTCTCTTTGATAAGGATGGAATGACTAGTTTGTATGGTCTAAGCTTAACATTTTTAAAAAGTATTTGTCTTTTCCAAAGTGCTTGTATTGTTTTATATTCCCACAAGAAGTGTATGAAATTTTCAGTTGTTCCACATCGTCAACCCTTGATATTGCGTTTTCATAAATCAAATTACTCTGATGGACATATAGTGGTAATACTCTCAAGATGCAAATTAAAAATATCTTCCCATATGTTCATTAGCTCAATGAGTTCATTTGAAAAAATATAGATATAAATTCTTTACTAGATATACCCATATCTTTGTCAAATGTCTTCTCCCAATCTGTGGCTTTCCTTATTTTCTTAGCATTATCTCTTGAAAAAAAATTGGATCTATCTTAGATTAATTCAGAGATATCTTTACAACATTGATATGGCATTTATCATAGCCTGAATGTCCCCCTAAATTTCTACCCTGAAACAATTCCTTTTGTGGTGGCTTTAAGCAGGCATCCTTTTTGAAAGTGATTAAGTTATAATGGCTCTGCTCTGGCGAGTGAATCAGTGCCTTAACAAGGCAATTAGCTTACATCCTTTTGTGTCGTTCCTCCACATTAGGACACGGCCTTCACTGCTTCTACTATGTGAGAATACAGCAAAAAGTCCTCACCAGACACTGAAAGTCTGGGCCTTGACCTTGGGACTTCCCAGGCTCCAGAACTGTGAGAAATACATTTCTTTTGTTTATGAATCACTCAGTCTGTGGTATTTTGTTATAGCAGCACAGATTTTATTTTTTGGCATCAGTCAGCTTTTGTCACAATAACAAAATACCTGAGGAAACCAATGAAAGGATTAGTTAGCTCACACTTTCAGAGGTTCTTTCCAAGATTAGGCAGCTCCACTGATTTGGTCTCCGGCCAGGGTGGTGGACAGAGAACTGAAGAACACTGACAGAAAATCAGCCAGGGAGCAGAGTGGGTATGGACCCAGCTTGGCTTACATACCAATGCTCTCCAGAGAACCACTTTTCACCCTCAATGACCTAAGGACCTTCGACTGAGTTCACCTCCTAAACACTCTGATGGGATTAGGTTTCCACCCTTTTACTATAATTACTTTGGGGTTTAAAGTCCAACATTAGTTGGGAGTCAAATCATGTTCAAATGATAGCAAAAGCATATTTCTTCTTGCTCTATTATTTCTCCTTATTGAACAGTTCACTATTTCATTACTTGTTCTTGTTATTTTTTCTATTTCTTCGAATTTATTTTCAATCTTATTGCAGCCTGTTTTATTAAGAACTTAGACAATTGCGTGTGTGTTCACTTCTAAATTATCCTTTTTATCTGCTTGTGTTTTCTTCAATTTATTTCTTTAAATATAGCATTATTTTCCACCTTTGATAATCCCAGTATGTGCAGGCTTTGTTTATCAAAATACTTGATATGTTCTTTGAACATTTACACATTTACTCTTCTCAGTGTGGCCAGTTTTAGCTTGATGAGTCACACAGGTGATAGGAATCCTTTTCCCAATCTATGTTGTTGTTTTGTTTGTTTGTTTGTTTTTGTTTTGCTAAGAATTGTCATGAGAATTCCTACAGCTTTTAACTCCCAGGAAAATCTGAGGCAAGCAAGTTTCACTCAATTCTCGCTCCCTCTGCAGGAGACTGTCGCCCCCTAGTTCTCCCTCGCAGACGGTGGCCCTTCCACATTTCCAGCTCCGTTGGTAAGTGACGGGTGGGCAGGGGAAACGGTGGGTGGTTTCTCCAATTCGGCCAGCGGCCCTATTTGGCCGTATATCTTAGGTCTGTAAAGTCGACTTTCCTCTTCACGGTGTGGTCCTGAGACCGCCACCATCACGGCCGCCCGGGGCTGTGAGAAACGCCCATCTCAGACACCGGCTCCTGGCGTCGTCCGCGCGGGTGTTTCTGTCCGTTTTGCTTTGGCGTCCTCTTCTGTCCTACTGCTATGTACGTTTTCTGCGTTCAGTAAAAATAATAAAAATTAAAAAAAAAAAAAAAAGAAAAAGAAAAACCATCTGAGGAACAACCGCGCTTCAACCTGTTTGAAAAAGGGATTAAATAACAGAAAACGACGTCAACATCAGCAGCGCCTCAGCCGGGACGGCCTCCGGCGGTTGCCATTTGCCTACAAACTCCACGCCCGTGAACACCAGAGCCTTCAGCGCCGCAGCGCCCCGCTCAGTGTCTCCCAAGCTGCCCCCCAGACCTCCCCTCTTTGACGCTCCCCCTCCTCGAAGCGTGCATTCCCCCGCGCGGCCCCAGTAGGCCACCAAGGCACCGCGAAAACCCGGAGTAACGGATTGCGGCCGCGGACACGGTCTCCAGGGCAGCAAGGAAGACTGACGGCGCGTGCGCCAGGACGGGTGCGCGCGCATGCGCACCGCCAGGCGCAGGGCCGCGCGCCTCTCTCCGGGCGGCTGGGAGGCTGCGCGCGCCGTTGACGTGTTCGGTGGCAGTGCCGGCGGCGGGGCGCGGGGAGGGGAGGGGGTGAGGTGGGGGGCTGAACCCGGAAGTGGGTAGGCGCTCGAGCGAGCGCGCTGGGAGTGGAGCTCGGCGGCCAGCGGCCAGCGGGGGAGCCGTGTGTTCCCGGTAATGGACTTGCGGGGCGTGCGCCCGGGGAGACGGGGTGGGAAGGGTAGCGGGTTCGTCGGCGGCGAGTGCGTCCTCCGCCCGGCCAGGGCCTGGGCAGGCTCTGGCACTGCCTTGGGTCGTTTCTGCGGGTGACCCCGCTTCTCTCTCGCTCCGCGCCCCTCCTGGGGCCGTCTCCCCGCCGGGCGGTTTTGGCTGAGCTCCGCTCCCTCTCCCTGAGGAGCTGTGCCAAGCCCGCCTGGGAAAAGCCCCGTTCTTGGGGAGACTCGTTTTCTCGACCGCCACGGCCTTATTGTCACCATCCCGGAGCCCCCAAACTACGACTGCAGCCCCCCTCAGCCTGCACCATCGAGGGTCTTGGGAGGAGCTCCCTCATCTGCCCGATTTTGCCAACTCTCTTCATAAATCAGGCCTGGAAGGTGCGCTCGGGCTGTCTTTAAAATTATTCTTTTGTTGGCCGTCTTTTCTGACCCGGCCCTCCTTGTTCTCCGCCCCAAAATCAGCCACGAATGAGTGTCGGCTGTGATTTTTATCATAATGTAGGTATCGTTTCGAGAGGCTCGGCTGGCCAGCGCCGTGGACCGGCCTGGGTTGCTTTGCCGCGGTTCTTTTACCTGGCTCTTTGACTTTTTTTCTTTTTTTTTTTTTTTTGCAGACCATGAAACCCTTGGGCACGCCCCTCCAGAAGCTGTTACCCAAGACAATCTAGTTTTCATTTATAAATCTCATAAGACACTTATGAAATTTCTTGTTCTGGAATTGCTGTACTGCAATGAAGAAAAGGAGAAAGGTTACTTCAGATCTTGACGAGAAGATCCATCTAGGCTATCATAAAGATTCTGCAGAAGGCAATGTGGCAGTGGAGTGCGACCCAGTGAGCTACACACATTCCGCAGAAAGACCAACCCCTGAGGCTCTTCACTGCTACCAGGAGTTCCCTCCCTCTCCAGATCAGAGAAAGCTTTTGAGTTCTTTGCAGTATAATAAGAATTTGCTGAAGTATTTAAATGATGATAGGCAGAAGCAACCATCTTTCTGTGATTTGCTCATCATAGTGGAAGGAAAAGAATTTAGTGCACATAAAGTAGTCGTTGCTGTCGGCAGTAGCTATTTTCACGCCTGTTTAAGCAAAAATCCAAGCACTGATGTTGTCACCCTGGATCACGTAACACATTCGGTTTTTCAGCATTTGCTTGAATTTCTTTACACATCAGAATTTTTTGTGTACAAATATGAAATACCTCTTGTTTTAGAGGCTGCAAAATTTCTGGACATTATAGATGCAGTAAAGCTGCTGAATAACGAAAATGTTGCTGCTTTTCAGTCAGAGCTAACTGAGAAGTCATCAGAAGAAACACTCAATGAATTAACTGGACGACTATCAAATAATCATCAGTGCAAATTCTGTAGTAGACATTTTTGTTATAAAAAGTCTTTAGAGAATCATTTGGCTAAAACACATAGGTCTCTGTTATTAGGAAAAAAACATGGGTTAAAAATGCTGGAGAGAAGTTTTTCCACAAGAAGATCAAAAAGGAATCGAAAGTGTCCAGTTAAGTTTGATGACACCAGTGATGATGAACAAGAAAGTGGTGATGGGTCAGACAATTTGAATCAAGAAACTTTTGATAAGGAGAAGTCAGAGCAAAATGATTCTGAGGACCCTGGAAGTGAATATAACGCTGAGGAAGATGAGCTAGAGGAGGAGATGTCAGATGAATACTCTGACATTGAAGACCAGAGTGAAAAAGAGCATCAGGATGCAGAAGAGGAACCTGAGGCTGGTGATTCTGTGGGAAATATTCACGAGGGCTTGACTCCAGTAGTCATTCAGAACAGTAACAAAAAAATACTGCAGTGTCCTAAATGTGATAAAACATTTGACCGAATAGGTAAGAAAGGAACAGAGCTTGTTTTCCACCATTAATTTTACATTTCATGGATATTTTAAAGGTGATAATTAAAAGCTAAACTCTGAAAGTAACTTTTGAAAAGACTGATTAAGTAAGGAGAATGCTTTGGTTTTCGTTACATAGTATATCCTGTTATTTTAAATTTGCTGTGATTTAGTAATTCATTTTAAATATTTATATTGGCCTCTTATTTTTATCTTTCTTATGTCCCAACAGTAGATGAAAGATCATTAGTTCATGTCTTTGGTATGAGAGAATCCAGAGTATCAGTTATTATCATACAGAGCTTTGGTTTATGTGCCAATTAAATTTGTGAGATAAGTGCTATGTTTTTGAGTCATAAAAGATTGAATTAAATCATATTATATTTAGTTTATTTGTATGCTGTTCCCCTTGTTAAGGGTAATATATGAGTTATAAATACTTGTGCCATTAATTTTCCAGTATTTGCCACAGTTATAATTGGGCTGTTTTAGATTAGACTGATAGATAGTGAAGAATTAAGTTGTACTGAGTGTAATCTAATTCTTTAAGTAGAGTCTTTAGGAAGTGACCTAATTGCTAGTACTAATTATTAAAAATCATGAATAAATTGATTTTACCCTATTAGTTGAAAGTATATAGTAATGTAGTCTGTAACCTGAAGTTTTGTGTTAGTGTTTATTTAATTTCAAGTTGTCTAGTATTTCCTAGTAGCGTTTAGAAGTATTTTCTATGAACCATTTTAAGGTGGACTTAGCTGCAGTAATTAGGCTATATCCATGTAAATTGAAGTTAAAAATTGTGAAATGTATTCTACCACATACGGTGATGAAAAGAACATAGTAGTGCAATCTGACTTTGTAAAATTACTTACACACTTTACCATATATCCTTGTGTCTTGCAGTATTGAGTTACTTATTATAGGTGGAAATTCATTTTATAATATATTAGTAATTGTTTGTTACCAAAATATGCTAAGTGCACACTTATGACATAGTGGTAACTTTTGTTTTTTATAATGCTTTTTGAATATTTTTTTTCTGATTCAAAATACTTTTAAAAGTCCAATAATTATTAATATTTTTGTTTTGAAGCTCTATACAAAATGAATGAAATAACTTTTTGAGTAACTTAGTCACTTGGAAGAGCATATGTATTTGGGGTATTCAGCAAGTTCATGGAAAATTCATCTGAAAAACTACACATGGCTCTCAAACATTTTTTGCATCAAAATAAACATCTTTTACTTCTATTTTTCCATGAACTTTTTGAAGTACCCTCATAAGTCAGGCTCTGTAAATGCTGTTCTAGCATTATAAACAGACACAAGGAGGGTATTTATAGTGGAAAGGAATCAAAAGCTTTTTTGGATTGAGGTACCTGAGAACATTTCATCTTTCTAGTAGATTCAACTTCTTAAAATTTGTACCCAGCACATACTTCCTGTATTCTCTTAATTGACCTAATTTGATTTAGAGATGAGTGAGCAGGGGTCAGTTCACAAATGACATTGCGTAGGTTCAGCACATAGATCTCAAACTGTCTCACTGAACCTGAGGAATGTGAGATGCTTTATGAGAGAGGGGTTCTGTTTTCAAGTGACATTGGGAAAACAATATAATTCTCATTCTGCCAAGTTCACTAATAAAGAATTCGAAATTTTGCTTCACCTAGCATTTCCTCAAATCATTTTACCACGGGACACTTAATGTCTCAGAAACACACAGTTTGTGGAAACACAGCTCAAGATTAATTGCTGATCACTGGAAGAAAGGCATTGAACAACCTTCTTGCCAAGCTCATTGTAGATAATTGAGAGAACCAATAGGTAACATAATAGGTTTGTTTCCAGTCTACCATACCAAGCCTATTTACAAAGAGTATTTTTATTCCCACCTCCCTTACCCCATATCACTCCCTTGCTTTGTCACTTTTGCTTAGTTTTCTTTAGTACCTTCTCATGTCCATTACATTAGCATATCTATCTGTCTGTCCATCTATGTCTTACACGGCTTAAAAAGCATGAGCTATGTTGATGTCAGACTGCCTGAGTTTTTTTTTGGGGGGATAGTTCTAGTGTGTCACTAAAAATATTACATGAAATTTAGGTGTTTGAGGTGTGGTAACTGCTCTTATTTATTAATCTAACATTATTTTGCCTCAAGAATTTTAGAATTTGTTGAATGAGTACATGCCAAAGCACAATTTTAGTACACTGAAGAAAATTTTTCAAGAACTATACAGAGGACTAACGATTCAGAGCCTTTGTAGGGCAGGTAGTACTTGAGCTGAGATTGAAAGCATAGAGGGGAATTTATAAGGCAGAAGAGTGAACGTGTGAAAAAGCGTTGAGATATGTTATATTCCGGAAATTTCATGGCGGGCAAGGAGGCATAATGAAAATGACCAGGTGAAGATTGGCAGGTAAGAGGGAGTCGGATTTTTTTTTTTTTAATGTTTTATATGTTAAACAGAATAGTTGCGATTTTACACAGTTAGTGATAGAAGCTGTGGAAAGGAAATGATAGCCTCCATGAGTTTTAGAAAAATCATGCCGGCTTCAATGCCAAGAAGAAAATCGGAAAAAGAAAGTAAGAAAAGAGCCAGGGAGACAAGAGTGAACATGTAGCAAACAACTAGAAGGACAATATGGCCTGAGGTAGGAAGATGTGTGATGTAGGGGATGGTATGTGGGATTAAGGTAGAGCAGAGCTACACTGGATGGTGACTACACGAACTGGTGATGGGTAGAATGAAAAGAATATATAGAAGAAAAATTCTAAATGTTTGGTAACTACCTCTCCTTATACCACACACATTCTTTTTATAGGACTTAAAGGCATTTACCCAGATTTTTGGTGGTGGTTATCTGTGTTAAGATTGTGAGCTTAAAGTTTATGCATCATACTATTGGATAGTAACCATTTTAAGGTTATTTCAGAGATGTTTTCAGCAAGTGCTTGTTTACTTGAACTAAGTTGAAAGGTTGGTATCTGACTTTACATTGGGCCCACAAGAAACAAGTTTAACTTGGCTGCCTAGGAGTGGCCTTAGGAGAGGTGAATAGTAATAAATGGGTGAATAATAACTTGAGCCCTGTATAATCTACTAATTTGATTTCATTCCTTTGGATCTTTAATCTTTCTCATGTATTTGATAATTGCTTTGAGTGAGATTCTTGATCCAGTTATATTTTTTCTTAGGCTACCAGCTGTCCTTTTCTCAGACAATTCTCATGTAAATAAGAGTCCCTTGACCTTTCCCCTTATACCAGAAACCTAGTGGGTAGAAAGGCAAAATAGTGAGATGACAGATGTGGTGAGAGAAAATGTGGATAACTTATTTTTTCCATTGATCCTACAATGAACTAAAATCTTTCCTTCAATTAAATTCATACTGTCTTCTAGAGATAGAAAATGTTTTGTACGTTTTTAAAAATGTGACTCCTTACTCCATTCTGATGGATTCAGCCTAGTTTTTAGTAAACACTACAACAGTTCTTAAGGCCAAATATTTTAGTTATGTGTTCTTTTGGGTGTGTTGTATGAATAGATTCTAATAGAATTTAAGATTTAGCAATATCAGATTTATAATGAAATTACTTGGTGCTGATGTTTCTCTTTTTAGAAACTTCCTACAAAGGTGAATAGTGATAATTTGTATGATCTGTATAAGTGAATAAGTTCTGAAGCAAGAGTTCATTTTTTTAAAATAATTTGTTTATTTACTTAAAAGGCTAAAAGACAGAGGGGGAGAGAAAAAAAGAGAGATCTTCCACCTGTCGGTTTACTCCCCAAATGGCCACATCAGCCAGATCTGGGCCAGGCTGAAGCCAGGAGTCAGGAAGGGACCTAAGTACCCAAGATGCCATCTGCTGCCTTCCCAGGCATGTTAGCATTGAGCTGGATCAGAAGCAGAGCCGGGGTTGGCGCCGCGGCTCACTAGGCTAATCCTCTGCCTGCAGCGCCAGCACCCCGGGTTCTGATCCTGGTTAGGGCACTGGTTCTGTCCTGGTTGCTCTTCTTCTGGTCCAGCTCTCTGCTGTGGCCCAGGAAGGCAGTGGAGGATGGCGCAGGTGATTGGGCCCTGCACCCGCGTGGGAGACCAGGAGGGGCCACCTGGCTCCTGGCTTCGGGCCATTTGGGGGGTGAACCAATGAAAGGAAGACCTTTCTGTCTCTCTCTCTCGCTGTCTAACTCTGCCTGTCAAAAAAAAAAAAAAAAAAAAAAAAAAAGGCAGAGCGGGACTGGAACTGCCCTCTGATAGGGAATACCAGTGTCAAAGGCGGTACCATGATGTGGGTCCCACAGTGTCAAATTTGTTACTATGAAAATATCTTTAGTTTGAGACACAGTTTGTATTAGGATTCAGTTCAGAAAAATGCTCTGGATGGAATGTCTTAGTACTTTGTGTTTTCTGTTGACAATCAGAATATGATTGAGACTTTGATAGGTTGAAGTGAACATTTTGATTTATGCATAATTATTGAATTCTCCATGCCATAAAAATGGAGAAGTAGATACAGATGTTTACTCTTTCTACTGATTAGTAGTTACACACAGACATAAACCCTACCAATTGATTTAAGGGCTTAAAACTTTTTGTTCTTTGTTCTTGCTAGTCCCTAAATCTCTGCCTGGCCTTTCTGAGTCCAGCATTCCCTTTGAAATTGTCTGTTCTATAATTATTCAGAAATTCTAATCCATGGATGTAACAGAGCCTATAATTCCCGTGTGCATACAGTTTGACTTTAAAACTTAGTAAAAATTGTTTCACTTTAGAGATTCTTAATGGCATAATGAATTATTAAAGTTTCCATATTTTCATTGGTCTCCTTACTGAATTTATTATAATGGTTTATCTAATTTTTGCTTTTTCAATTAATAATTGCTTTTTCTTAATATTTTTTAAGATTTATTTTTGTGTATTTGAAAGGCAGAATTATAACAAGAGAAGGAGACACACACAAAGAGAGAGATCTTCTGTCCTCTGGTTCACTTCCCAAGTGGCTGTGATGACTAGGGCAGGGCCAGATGAAAGCCAGATCTGACAATCCAGATCACCCATGTGGGTGGCAGGTACCAAAGTTGGAGCCATCAACTGCGCCTCACAGAGTGTGCACTAGCAAGAAACTAGATTAGAAGCAGGGGCAAGACTCATTCCCAGGCACTATGATATGGGATGTGGTATCCACAGCAGCATTTGCTGCACCAAATGCCCACTCCTTCAGATTTGTATTTACTTGTGTGTTTGTACTGTGACTAGTCATGCATATGAAAATAATAATGACTAATATTTGTTACTGCTTATTATGTGCTGAGATGTTTTAAGTTTTTTGCATATAATTTATTCACAACTCCATGAAGTGTTACTAACTCAGATACAGAGTTCACAAATAATGCCTGAGTGTTCTGGCTACATCCATTTAAAAATTTGCATAGACCATTATTTGTATGATCTATACCTAAATACCTAATAGATTCTATCTCATACTTTTTTTTTCTCTGCTTATGATTGGTATCCTTCCCCTTCACCCCATTAAAAAAAAAAAAAAATAACAAAAAATCCTTGGTTTTCTTTCCTCAGTTTATGAGATAAGTGCAATGTCATTGATTTTTGAGTAATACAATACTACTTATTAAATTCAGTTATATATAGTTATAACTAGTGAATTAGTGTGTCCATATTAAGTAGAGAAGTAATTTTTTTAAAAAGGTATTTATTTGAGAGTTAGAGTTACAGACAGAGAGGGAGAGGCAGAAGGGTCTTCCATCTGCTAGTTCACTCCCTGATGACCACAATGGCTGGAGCTGGGCCTATCCAAAGCCAGGAGACAGGAGCTTTTTCCAGGTCTCCCACGTGGGTGCAGGGGCCCAAGTACTTGGACCATCTTCTACTGCATTCGCTGGCCAAAGCAGAGAGCTGGATCTGAAGAGGAGCAACTGGGACATGAACCAGCACCCACATGGGATGCCAGCACCACAGGCGAAGGCTTAGCCTACTATGCAACAGCGCCAGCCCCAGTTAGACAAGTAATTTTGGTTATCATTTCCCTCAGTGACCTTGGAATATTTTGGATTTTTTCTAATTTTCATGATAAATACAAGATTTAGCTTTTCATTAAGTGTATTCTATAATGGTATACTTTTACATTAGTTTTAGCCTGAAGAAAAAACTATTTATGCATTTGTTTTGCAGGACAAAGCAGAGTTTTAATCTTCATCGGGATAGTGTTTTTTTCATTTTTTCTTACTCTTATTTGAAAGTGTCATTCATTGCAATTTCTGCTAGAGCTTATTTGTCTAGCACTATTATAAAGTGCTTTGTGTTTGTGGATTTGTTTATTCTTATAACTGGTCTATAAGGCAAATACTATTATCCCAGTTGAGGCATAGTTTACTTATCCAAGGTCGTAGAGCCTGCTATTTGAAAACCCAGGATTCATAACCAAATTGTGTGGATCGAGAATACTGTGCTAGGATATGTGCTATATGTGATAGCTATTCTACTTCTGGAATGTGGCAGTTTGTATTCTGAATAATGATGTAAAGATTTTTATTCAAAATTAGAATGCAGATGAAAAGACAAAATGTCCTTTTTTAAAGGATTTCCTTTATTAAAATGATAACACTTCTCTTTGAAGTACTTATATTAAAATTAATTCTTTCTTTCTTTTGGAAATACCTATAACATTTGGACAGGACTTTTCATACTATAATGTAAATCTCACCTCAAGTATGACTCTGAATATCTATCTATTATACCTGTTCACCTTTTCTTGCTTTCTTGGGTACTGCTTATATTATTTCCCAGTTATTACTGTTAATAAGCATGTCACCAAATACAATTTATTTACTTGTTTCTTAATTTTTTATAAGTTGGAAAAATCTTATATAAATGGATTAATGTGAAGTATAAGTTTTACACAGTATTCTAGATTTTTGGTCCCCTTACCATAACCTTACCTTCTATGAGAAGAAATGAAAAATATATTATAAAATATATAAGCAAATTATTTTACATTTTTTATGATTTTTTAAAAGGATTATCAAATCTGAAAAATTCTTTCAATTCATGGATATACACAGTGGAAAAAATATGAAAGTAAGTCTTAAATGATGAGTAGTTTTTTTTTGCTAAAGATTAATTTTAATTTAAATATATACTTTAAAAGTTTTAACTGCATAGAATTTGCCAACAGTTTTCAGAAAATTTCTCCAAACCAAATAATTTTTAAATTATATGAACACGAGTAATTTTTTTCTTGAATGACCTAGTTTTTTTAAAACAAGTATGTTTTGAGCAATAAGCTTAAAGCAGTAAGTCATTAAGACTTAGCAGATTTAGAACTTTAAATAAACTTTTTTCTAGTTTGTGTATGTATATTAACTTTGCTGAATCATGAGATTTTATTCTCTCAAATTTTACTTACCGTATTGCAAGTGCACTGAATTTAATTTTAATTTCTCTCTTTCTGTAGGCAAATATGAGAGCCACACTCGTGTTCACACAGGTGAGAAGCCCTTTGAGTGTGATATTTGTCACCAGCGCTATTCAACAAAGTCTAACCTAACTGTTCACAGAAAGAAGCACAGTAGTGAAACAGACTTTCATAAGAAGGAGCACAAGTGCCCTTATTGTAATAAACTTCATGCAAGCAAGAAGACTTTAGCCAAGCATGTTAAGAGGCAAGTATTATCTTGCTTCCATAATAAAGTGTATTGTACTTTGTAATTTAAATAATATAGTAAGATAAAAACGCAGAGTGCTTCTCTCCAGCTCTTTCATTGGTTAACATTTTGCAGAGACTACAGATTAAGAAAAGAACATTGAGTGTTAGTTTATTTTTTTATTCATGCAATTGAGATAAAGTTTTTTTCCACATTGAAGCAAGAAAATAGTCAATAATATAAATGTTTAAGATGTAAGGGGCTTTTAAAAGGTTCATGGAAAAAGCGTATTAAGAGAAAAGTAGGGGCGCCGGATTCTGTCCCAGTTGCCCCTCTTCCAGGCCAGCTCTCTGCTGTGGCCAGGGAGTGCAGTGGAGGATGGCCCAAGTGCTTGGGCCCTGCACCCCATGGGAGACCAGGAGAAGCACCTGGCTCCTGCCATTGGATCAGCGCGGTGCACCGGCTGCAGCTCGCCGGCCGTGGCGGCCATTGGAGGGTGAACCAATGGCAAAGGAAGACCTTTCTCTCTGTCTCTCTGTCTCTCTCTCTCACTGTCCACTCTGCCTGTCAAAAAAAAAATTTCATTAAAAATAAAAAAAAAGAGAAAAGTATGTATGAATTTCAGAAATTTTTGCACCAAAATAAACTTACCTTTCAATTCCGTATTTCCACAGACTTTTTGAAGTCCTCTGTCATTTGATTATCCTGTTTTCTGTCTTGGGTTTTGGCAAATGTATCTAGTCAAATATATGGTTTGAGAAATCTTGAAAATTTATTTCTTATATTCAGCCTTTTTTAATATATGCAAATATTTGTGAAAGAAAATTTAGTGCAATGTTGCATATTCTAAAATTAAATTTACAGAAATCTGGACTAAAACTAATCAAGTGAATTACTTTGTAGATTATCTGTACATAACTAGGTTCCTAAATGCATTGAAAATATGACTAAACTTTCTTATTCATAAACTTAGATATAATTATTATAAATTTTTTAAATGATAATGGTACCTGTAGTCTTAAGGAACTCATGTGTGCCTGTCATTTTAAGAAAAGAACCAGTATCTGATTCTTATAATAACTATTCATATGGAATACCAAGTTAACTAATACAGTTGTTCCTGATCAATGTGGTTTTTTTTCCCCTTTGATAGATTTCATCCTGAAAATGCACAAGAATTTATTTCCATCAAGAAGACCAAGAGTGAAAGTTGGAAATGCGATGTAAGAGTTTTAAATTTGTGGTAGAAAACCAAAGTAAATGTAATGTTGCCTTTTGGGAAAGTAAAGTATAGGTTCTAAAGTGATAAACTTAGGACGTATCACTGTTTTAAAATTTTCATTTACTTATTAAGACAGACAGAGAGGGATTTTTCCACTCTACTTCACTCCTCAAATGTTTTTTTTTTTTTAACTTTTATTTAGTAAGTATAATTTCCAAAGTACATTTTATGGATTACAATGGCTTTTTCCCCAGCATAAGTTCCCTCCCACTCACACCCCTCCCATCTCCTGCTCCTTCTCCCATTCCATTCACATCTTTTTATACAATGTTATCATGATTTTTATTTTTTTGGTTAGTTGAGCCTAAAATAGGGTAGTTTTTAGATGATGGGCCTGAGAAGTGGAAATCTTAGTTCTTTTGTTGAAATAAATGTACCATGGATTTATAGTTGTGTTGGTAAACTAAATTTGCTGATCAGAGTGTAAAACTTTAGAATTTCCCCTCCATGTCTGATTGTTGATTGCTTTATGACAAAGCAACTCAGAATTTAGTGGCTTTAAACAGCCTTTTTTTTTTTTTTTCTGTCTCACCCTTTTGATGGGTCAAAACTCTGAATTTGAGTCAAAGCTTTGTTAGGTATTTCTGTTGTTCTACCTAGTGTAATTTGATGCCACTCTGTTCTCTGCTGGTGAATGATCTGGTCTGGTTTGGGGCCACTTCCCAGTGGCTGGCAAATTGGTATTAGCTGATGACTAGGATCTCAGCAGGGACTGTTGACCAAGAGCCTGAATTCTCCATTTTGAAGCTACTTATGCTTCCTTCTAGTATGGCAGATAGGTTCCATGGGTGAGTGAGCCAAGAAAGGCAAAGACTAGAAGGCTTTTTGTGGCCTAGCCCAGACGTCCTAGAATATCCCTTCTGCAACATCATATTGGTCAGAAAAATCATAAGCAGAACAGAATAAGGGGAGAGGATTAGACTTCTATTTTTCAGTGGGGGAATAGCAAAGAATTTGTGGACATCTTTATTCTACCATACACTTAAAGTATTTTTTTTCAATATTTAGTGAATATTGTTTAAAGGGGCACCAACTATCACTTTCCTTTATTCCAAAGTTTCAGTTTATATAAACAGCAAAATTTTCACTCTTCTCTCATTTAAGCTTCTTGAAATTGAAGTTGATTATTAATTATTTGAATCCACATAAGGGAACATCTTGTTAAGTTTCACCATCCTCAGCTATAAATGATGACAATCTGATGTCTACCTCATGGGATGATTGTGAGAACCAAGTTAAAGAATCAAGGAATTCTGTAGTGTTGTTCCTGGTTTACAGTACAGGCTATATTGTTGTTGTTATAGTGGCCTCTTCCACTTTGTTGTAAAATCAAATGTAGGTAAAATTTCTTTAAAATTTGTTTCTTCCTTCTGACTGCTTTAAGAGATAAATTTTGTAATGGTTTTTCTGTGATTTCTTATTCATATTCCTAAGAAAATATATGGCAACAATAATGAAACTTTATATTACTGATACATAAATTATTTCAAGCAGATTTTGAAGCAGGCATTTTGTACGATGTTTTGAGATGCTGCTTGGGATGCCTGTATTCCATGTGGATGCCTGTATTCCATGTGGAACTTACGATTCTGGTGTCTTGCCAGTGTGCATCCTGGAAGGCAGCAGGTAGTGAATGACTCAAGTACTTGGGTGCCTGCCACGCGTGTGTGAGACCTGGATTGGATTTCTGACTCTTGGCTTCAGCCTGTCCCAGCCCCAGCTGTTGCAAATGGGGATCTCTTTCTGTCTCTCTTAGTTTCACCTTTGAAATTTAAAAAATTAAATATACTTATGTATATATATGTATATGTTGCATGTATGTGTGTATATATATATTATGTATATATATCTATATATATAAACATGGATACTAGAATTAAGATAGAAAGATTATTAAGTTGGCCTGTTAGAAATGTAAGGAGTTGGGGCTGCCATTGTGGTGCAGCAGGTTAAGCCATCACCTTTGATGCTAGCATTCCATATGAGTAGAGTCCTGGCTGCTCCACTTCTGATCCAGCTTCCTGCTAATGCACCTGGAAAAGCAGCAAAATATGGCCCAGGTGCTTGGGTCCCTAACACCCTTGTGGGAAACCCAGATGGAATTCCAGGCTGCTGGCTTCAGCCAGGCCTCATCCCTGCTGTTTGGCTATTTGGGGAATCAGATGGAAGATCTCATTGTCTCTGTCTCACCCTCTTTCTGTAACTCCACCTTTAAAATAGAAAAATCAGTCTTCAAAAAAAAAAAAAAAAAGAAATGTAATGAGTTGAAAATCAGCTATCTTTAGTATTAATTTAAAATAATTCCTTAATATAATTCCTCCAGGATTTATTTTCTTGCCCAATTAGAATTCCAGTATACTTTGGGTAAATTTTCTGTTTGGTAATTCTTTTTACTTACATTTTTGGGTTTTTTGTTTTGTTTTGTTTTGCTAATGAGCTTTTTATTTTAATACTTAATCCAGGTTCTCTTATTTTATATGCATTTTCATTTAGATTTGTAAGAAATCTTTTACTCGAAGACCACACTTGGAGGAACATATGATCCTGCATTCTCAAGATAAACCTTTTAAGTGTACATATTGTGAAGAACATTTCAAATCACGCTTTGCACGGTTGAAGCATCAAGAAAAGTTCCATCTGGGTAAGCAGCTTCCTTTTTCTTAAGTAGTCATGGGAATTTTTGATTATCACATCATGCTGCTGCTGTTGAACTACTCTTTTTCTTTTAAAAGATTTCATTTTTTAGATTAGTTTTAGGTTCACAGCAAAAAATCCTGTACTACGCTCTCTGGCTCTGTACATGCATAGTGTGTTACCAACATCCTCCAGCAGAATGGTACATTTATTATAGATGACCAGCCTATATTGACACATCATTAACACCCAAAGTCCTTAGTTTACATTAGGATTCACTCATGGTATTGTACATTCTTTGAGTTTGGAAAAATGTGTAATGACGGGTATCCACCATTATAGTATCATTCAGAGTATTTTTCACTGCCTTAAAAATTTACTGTGCTTCCTTGTTCGTTCCCCACCTCCACCCCTAACTCCATCCTCTGGTGGTTAGTAAATAATCTTTTTACTCTCTTGGTTTTGCCCTTTCCAGAATTTCAGATAATTGGAATCATTAATTATTTTTCAGATTGACTTCTTTCACTTGAAATATGCACTTAAGGTTCCTCCATGTCTTTTCATGTCATGCTATTATTTGTTTTTGGTGCTAAATAATATTTAATTGACTGGATAGATTAGTGTTTAACCATTCATCTCCTAAAGGACATCTTGCTTGCTTCCAGGTGTTGGCAATTATGATTAAAATTGCTGTAACATTTGTGTGCAGGATTTTATGTGCACATTAGTTTTCCTTTGTTTAGGTAACTGGGACTGTGAAGGCTTAATCGGATGGTAATTGGTTTGTATAAATCCACTGAACACTCTACCGAAGTGACTGTGACTGTACCATTTTGCATTCTCATCAGCAATGAAAGACAATTCTTGTCATTCTTTTGCCCTTGTCAGTATTTGGTGTTGTTGAACTGTGAATTTTGGCCATTGTAATAAATGTCTAACTATTCTCTTAATCTCTGACTTATCTTTATCTTAACAGTGTCTCTCAAAACAAATTTTAAATTTTAATATGTCTTGTCAGCTATTTCTTTCATATGTTTGCCTCCTTGACAAACACAAAAATCTAGATTTTTGCTCGCATTAACTTCTAAGAGTTTTATAGTTTTCCATTTTACGTTAAAGTCCATGGTCCATTTTGAGTGTATTTTTGCAAAGGATATAGGTCTAGGTTTAGGCTCAGTTGTCTTTTTGTTTGTTTTGCATTTGGTTGCCCGGTTGTCCCAGCACCATTTGTCGGAAAGACTTTCTTTGCTCCATTATGTTGCCTTCACTTTGTCAAAGATCAGTTAACCAAAAGACAGAAAAATAACAAAAACTGGCAGAGATGCTGAGAAAAGGTAGCTCTTTTATATACTGTTAGTAAGAATGTAAATTAGTGCAGTCATTATGAAAAACATTTGCTGTTATGATCCAACAGTCCCTCTGTTGGATGTATCCAAAAGAAATGAAATCAGTGTGTCAAAATGATAATATATTGGGGCTGGCACTGTGGCATAGTGGGTAAAGCCACACCTGCAGTACCAGCATACCATATGGGTACTGGTTCAAGTGCTAGCTGCTCCACTTCCGATCTAGCTTGCTGCTAATGTGCCTAGGAAAGCAGCAGGGGATGGTCCAAGTCCTTGGGCCCCTGAACCCATAAGGAGACCTGGAAGGTGCCCCTGGCTCCTGGTTTCGGCCTGGCTCAGCCCCAGCTTTTGTGGCCATTTGGGGAGTGAACCAGCAAATGGAAGATCTTTCTCTTTCTCTCTCTGCCTCTCCTTCTCTGCAACTCTCACTTTCAGATAAATAAAGAAATCTTAAAAAAAAAAAAAAAGTCACATATATCTATGTCTATCCATTCCTTCACACACATGCATATACATGTCATGGAATATGAATCCATACTTACATACAGAGATGTATGTACATGTATGTACAATGGAATATGATTCAGTCATAAAAAGGAATGGAATTCTGTAGTGAACAGCAGCATGGATGGAAGTGGAAGACATTATGTTAAGTGAAAGAAGTCAGGCACAGGAAGACCAATACGTCACGTTCTCACCTATAAGTAGAATCCAAAAAGTTGATCGCACAGAAGTAGAGAGTAGAATAGTAGACACCAGAGCATTGGAGGATGTGGGGAAGGGAGGCATGAAGAAAGGATGGTTTACAGTTACAGAGGTATAGTTGGATAGGAGGAATAATTTCTGATGTTCTAGAGAAAAGGGTAACTATGTTTGATAACAATTAGTTGTATATTTCAAGATAGCTAGTAATGAGAATTTTGAATATTCCCAGCACAAAGAAATGATAAATAATTGAGGTGATATGTATGCTTATTTTGTTGATCATTACACATTTATCAATATTGAACTACTACACTGTACTCCATTAATATGTACAATTATACATGGAAATTAATGAAAAATACATATTCAAAAACATAAGTTGACAATTATTGTAGCTTTATTTCTGGACTTTTCATTCTATTCCATTGATCTGTTTGTTCTGTCTGATTACTCTAACTTCATAGTAAATCTTGAAGTCAGATAGCATCAGTTCTCCAACTTTGTTCTCTTTCAATATTGTGTTGTGTTTTCTGAATATTTTGCCTTTCATATAAACTTTAAAATCAATATGTGGATCAGCAGAAGATAATTTTCTGGGGATTTGTTCTAGATTGCATTAAACCTATAGATGAATTTGGGAAGAACTAGCATCCTGATGACATTGATTCTTTCTATCCATGAACGTGAAATATCTCCTCATTTATTTAGTTCTTTGCTTTTTAAATAATTTCGTCATTTTCTTTATATTGAGCCTGTGCTTCTTTTGTTAGATTTCTACCTAAATATTTAATGTGCAGGAGTTACTGAGCCACACTTGGTGAACTTAGGTGTTTGGCTTAGGCAGATTAAGTCATATAGATTGGGAGAAGAACTATATATAATACATACTGCAAATTCTAGAGATGAACATTCTATTAATTTGATGACAAGTATGTCAGTTACCCACAGTTGATTTTTGGGTAGGCTTGAGAGTGTTTTTGATGGAGCATATTTGTTTTGGAAAAAAACTTCATTTTTCAGGAAATATAATAATCTTGGTATACTTGAAATTCAGTATTTCGTTTGAGTAATTCTCTCCCTATTGCTGCAGCTATGTTAGAGGCTTGTAGTCTGGCAAATTTATGAGAGTTAATCTCAATAATGAATTATTGTTATTTCAAGTAGAAGCCTTCTCCCTTTCCTGTGCAATGTGTTTATTAACCACTTTGGTAAAAATAAAAACTGCATGTTTATGGAATTTATAGATGCCATAAAACTAGCAGGGGTATTTAGTATTTAATATACCAGAAAATCAAAATGTAAAAAATAAAAGTGGCATACAGTAAGTCAAAACAGAATAGATTAAAATTAATTAAGAATAAATACAAGTTGCAAACCTAGCAGAATGATCCGATTTTTATTCATTGGGTCTTGAGGAACAATAAAATGGTAGAAAAACCAAATTCCTTATTGTACAGATGGGCTTAATAGCATGGGCTTTTTAAATTATATTTTTAAGTGTGTTTATTTAACTGAGAGCAGAAAGATGGAGAGAGAAACAGAGCTCCCATCCACTAGTTTATTCTCCAGGTACTTGCAAAGGCTGGGACTGAGCCAGGCTGAAGCTAAGAGTTAGGAATTCCATTTGGTTCTCTCACATAGTTGGTAGGTACCAAAATACTTATGTCATCACCTCCAGTTTCCCAGGATGCACAATGGCAGGAAGCTGGAATTGAGAGCAGAGCCAGTGCCTCAGCCCAGGCATTCTGATATGGGAGGGGGCTTTCCACCAGGAGCTTAACTGTCTGGTTGCCTGCCCAGGACAGAAGCAGAGGCTGTTTAGGCCCAGTAGGAATGAATAATGTGATACCAACAAAAACCAATTTAGTTTCAGACTATATTAATACAGGTATGTCTTTCAGAATCAGACAAGGTAATAGTCTGATTTTGAATTGATCTGGAAAATTACATTTATTTCTGAATACCTCATTTAATATTTTTGTTTAAAGATTCATTTATTTATTTGAAAGTTGGAGTTACACAGAGAGAGGAGAGGCAGAGAGAGAGAGGTCTTCCATCTGCTGGTTCACTCCCCAGTTGGCTACAACAGCTGGAGCTATGCCAATCCAAAGCAAGGAGCCAGGACCTTCTTCTGGATCTCCCATGCAGGTGCAGGGGCCCAAGGACTTGGGCCATCTTCGACTGCTTTCCCAGGCGACAGCAGAGAGCTGAATCGGAAGTGGAGCAGCCGGGACTCAAACTGGTGCCCATATGGGATGCCAGCACTGCAGGCTGCGGCTTTACTCCCTATGCCACAGCGCCGGCCCCCCCATTTAATATTGATACTGAAAAATATATAAGAATGAATCATATAGAGTCTTAAATTTATGTCATGTGAAAAAGTTTGAAGGACCTTGAAATATTTTGTTTGGTAAAGGGAGATAAAGTAGCTGTTTTCAAACACTTCCAAGGCTCTATTGTGCAACAGGGGGATACTAAATCTTTCTTAATTCTGGTATAAAGGCTAATAAATGCTGGAAGCTTACTTATCTTTCAGGACTAACCCTAAGCTGTTCTTTTATGGAGCATCATATAATAACAGATTTTACCAAAACTGTTGTTGGACACATGTTGATGACTGCATGTTGCATGTGAGGAAGTTCTTTAGACTTTAGTTCCAGGAAAAATAGTTTTTATTGGAGAATTTGTGGGCTTTTTCCCTTTTTTTTTTTTTCATTTGAAAGTCAGAGTTACACAGAGAGGAGAGGGAGGGAGGGAGGGAGAGAGAGAGAGAGAGAGAGAGAGATCTTCCTTCCATTCGCTGGTTCACTCCCCAGTTGGCCGCAACAGCTGGAGTTGCACCGATCTGAAGTCAGGAGCTAGGAGCCTCCTCCGGGTCTCTCACATGGGTGCAAGGGCCCAAGGAATTGGGCCATCTTCTACTGCTTTCCAAGGCCATAGCAGAGAGCTGGATTGGAAGTGGATCAGCCGAGTCTCAAACTGGTGCCCATATGGGATGCCGGCGCTTCAGGCCAGGACGTTAACCCATTGCACCACAGTGCCGGCCCTGGCTTTTTCCCTTTTGAAATGAAAACTGTAGATAATATTTGTGTCCTGTCTTGTGGAAACATCATAGCAAAGTATGATGTTTTTTTATTAACATACTTCCTTCTATGTCCTTTTTAAGTTTTAGAACTTACAAATTAAAATAACTTGTCTTGCACAGTATTTACTTTCCCATTAGTGAAAGTACACATATACTGAACTGTTGATCAGCTTAATGTTGTTGAAGAGGACATTCCTGAGAAGTGGTTGAACTAGAAGACTTTTATGACTTATTAAAAGATTATTCATTTTTCTATCATGCTCCAGTGTTCAGTAAGGAGAGGTGGTATGAATGGTGGTCCAGAATGTCAGGTGATAAAGCTTAGCTCACCTTTAGTTAACTAAAGCTTCCTGAGGAAAATACCCAAGGAATGTGATGTTCAGGGTCGTATATATTAACTGAAAATACCTAACATTGTGATACCTAACATCTGGGTTAGAATCTAGGGACACCATTCCTGCCAAAATAATTACAGTGCATTGGGTAATCAAACAAGTAAATAAATCATTACATTATAATGCTGAACCCACTCGACTATTTCACAAATGATTAGGTAATTTGTATAATTTTTAATGAGTTGATGTTTATTAGGTTGGATTGACAATTAGTAGAAGAAAAAGCATGAAGTGGAAATGGAAGTAGAAGACTTCATAGACAGGCTTGTTTTCTACATCTGATTAAATACCTATTGTGTGATAAAGGACCAGCCTCACAGAGCTCCAGGTTCCTTGATGGTAGGGTAGAACAGGATTGTGAGGATTATGTGAGATTGTGTAAAAGTACCAGGTCTGGAGCCAGACATCATTTGCATTCCCCTTCTCTGAATATGTCATCATTTTTAGTATTATTATTTTTAATACCTTTAAGAAATACCATTTGTGAAATAAAATGGTGATTTTGCATTTTAGGCCAAATAGAATCAAATAGAATATTACAATAAATATTTTATAGTACTCAAACATACACATATATATATAATATTCAAAGCAATATTTTAGTAATGATATTTAACAATATTTAATGATGTGATTTTTTTAAAAAAGATTGATTTGTTTATATTAAAGTCATAGTTATGGAGAGCGAGATCTTCCATCTGCTGGTTCTCTCCTCAAAAAGCCACAACTGCCGGGGCTGGGCCAGGTGGAAGCCAGGAACTTCTGAGTCTCCTGTGTAGGTATAGGGACCCAGGAACTTGGGCCATCTTCCTCTGCTTTCTCAGGCATGTTAGCAGGGAGGTGAGGCTTGAACTGGCACCCTTGTGGGATGCCGGCACTGCAGACAGCGTCAACCTGCTGCGCCATAGCACCAGAACCATGATGTCCTGTTTTTATATGAATTTATGTATTTCATTTCTTTTGCATTCCAGTTCATAAGCATCTGTTTCCTTGAATCTCTGTAAATGATTCACAAAAATTGGTGTCCATTACAATACTTGGAGAGCTTATTAAAAAACAAATTGCTAGGCTGGACATTTGCCCCAGAGCTTAAGATACCTGCGTCCCATATCTGAATACATGGATTTAATTCGTGACCTGGAGAGGCAATAGTAGGCTCAAGTAGTTGAGCTCTTATTACCCAAGTCAGAGATACCTTGATTGTGATCCTGGCCTCCAGCCTTGGCCTTGACCCAGCCTTGTCATTGTATGTATTTGGGGAGTGAACCAGCCGATGGGAACACTCTCTCTTTTTCTCTCTCTCTCCCTCTCTCCCTCTCTCCCTGTCTCCCTGTCTCCCTGTCTCCCTCCCTCCCTCCCTCCCTCCCTTCCTCTCTCTCTCTGATTCTTAAACAGATCAGAGAAAACAACAACAAAAATAGATTGCCATGTCCCATCCCTAGAATATGTGATTCAGGAAGCTTGAGGTATGTCTCCCAAATTTTCATTTCCAACAAATTCCCAGGTGATTTTGGTGCACTTGACTTAGATATCACAGTTTGAGGGCTACTGATTTAGGTCATTCAAAGTCATACTTGTACCACCTACATTAGGATTATATGTTGTTAAGTCAGAAGGAAAGTTATATAAGTAGTACATTTAAGAGATCTTTTATATATCAGTATTTATAAATGTAAATGTTATAGATTGGCTTTAAAAAGTCAGAAGTTATGATTCTAATCTACCTGGAGAGTTTCGTGAAGATTGGCTTTAGTGTGAATTCCCAACTTAGCTTCATAAATAAAGGTTCAAAGAGCCTTTGCTGCATGTAAAACTGAATAGCCAATATAAGGAAGCACAATAGTTGTTAATTTCTGTGAAAAATTCTGATAAGTAGCAACGTGAAAGAGAATGCTCCATTTCTTTTATAGCCCCTCTGGAGTCCTCAGCTGTACATATAGTTATTAGTTTATAAAAAGTTTTATTAGTAAATATCTCACTCTTCACCTACACACATTTCCTGTTAACATGCTCATCTTGGCATTCTTACTGACTTCACCTGTTTATCGTCAATTCTGCAAATACTCCTTTTTGCAACTTCTTGGAGGCTTTTTTGATTGGGTTAAGGTAGAAGGATTTCTCATGGTACTTAAAACAGTGATAGATAGGCGTTAAGAATAAATATTTGTTGAGTGAGTTAACAAATTGGTAAAAGATTCCTATCCCATGGAAATTGAAATCTTTGACATTTTAAATAAGAATATATTAAAGATACTTAATATGAAATGCGTTTAGAGATCCTCTGTTGAAATTTCCCCAAACCTACTGTAGTAAGCAGTTTTGCTTATGGATAGGTATGTTTCTGAATTCCAGTATGCACATTTCTCATTGTCTTTTCATTGTGCTGTTATGATTAATTCTTTATTAGAAGTCCTTATGCAGTTTATTCTTCCAAATTCAGAGACATGTTCTTCCAAATAGATTCCTGGAACTGCATGTACTGTGCTTCTTCCTTACACATCATTCATCTTCCTTGTAGTTTGCTATTCAGTTGAACTCTGTCTTCTCTTCAGTTGCTTCTTTGGTAAAACCATGTTGAAATTCAGAATACTGCCCATGTCGGTATTAGTATGAGACATCTGGGTTTAATTTTATAAGGTTAAGCAGAAGTATGGCTCAGTATTTTCAATCTACTCAGAGTCACTAAAAATTTGTTGTAATTAGGGACAGAAATGTATTGCCAAACCATGAGTTCAATAGTAAGTCCTCTCTTTATTTTTCCAAAGTTTCTCATTACCTCATTTTCTCAGAAATTTAATATGTAGTGATTTCTACTTTGTTCCAGTATGATTTCAAACTAGAAATTGGCTGTTTAAATTAACTCAGGCATATAGTAAGTGCTGAGTAAGTTAATAAATTAATGTTATAAGCTCATTTTGGCAGTTTTATTTTCTTCAAAGTATGCAAATGATTATTAATTTATTAACACATTACTTTATTAACTTATTGAGCATTTATCTTGTGTATCAGATGCCAAGCCTTATATTTGCCTCTAGAGATACAGAAATGATTATAATCTGCCTTCTAGGAATAAATAGTCTGGAAGGGAAGAGGAAGCTATAAACAAATAATTATAGTGCCTTTTGATATATGAACTAATAGTATTAGGCATAAAATTATGACATACCTATAAATTTAATTTAGTAAATGTGTAAACTTTAACTGAACATTATTTTTTGTTTAAGGTCCTTTTCCATGTGATATATGTGGCCGCCAGTTTAATGACACTGGAAATTTGAAACGCCATATAGAATGTACTCATGGTGGAAAAAGAAAATGGACTTGCTTTATCTGTGGAAAATCAGTAAGAGAAAGGTAAAGAATCATCTGCCTACCCAGAAAAATCCCAATAGTGTTATGTAGAGGTAATTAGCAAATATAAGTTATAAGGGTTCAGTTAATGCAAGATACAAAATACCTGAATTATGCTTCAGTTTGAAATATAAGGAAAAAGGATTTATATTAAATATTCTAGAAAATAATATGGAGAAAGTATTTGTAGGTAACATACATATCATTTTATTTCTTTCTGAAATCCCACTAAAAATAAGTGAATTGGTTTTTGACTTTAAAGTGATATTCTCTTTTTGAAAGACAGCAAATAGAGACAGAGAGATCTTCCATACTTGAACCATCTTCCACTGCTTCCCAGGCACATTATCAGTTACCTGAATGAGAAGCAGAGTACCTGGGACTTGAACTGGTAGTCTGATAAGGGATTCGGGTGTCCCATGGCTTAACCCACTGTACCACCTGCCTCAACTTTTTGTTGTGTTGTTTTTTAAAGGCAGTGAAGACAAGGTGAGTAGAAAGGTGACAAGAATGACACAGGTTTGGAAGCTAAAATGCATATCGATGAGTTTTAACTGACTTATCAGATCTGCAAAATACAATTGAAAGTGGCAGTGGTGAAAAAATGAGAATTCGGTTTACCTTGCAGAATCCATAAAAGGTCTGAGAACTGGCAGTATCAGATACTTCTGGATACTGGGGTGAAGGAAAGGCAGAACAAGGAGCTCTAGAGTAAAAGCTTACAGAGGTCGCCTCATTGGATTCCCTCCTACCATCACACATGCCATTGCTTCTGCATATCTGCCCTTTCCTTCTCCCAACAGAAAGTTGGACTGGCATGTGCCATGCTGTTACATGATCAAATGCATTGTGAATGCTGACAGCAGTGAGCCAGGCCTTATCCTGGCCAACATCTTGGCTTTTATATTTTACTCTTCCGGTAGCAGGTTAGAAGACTATTCCCTGAAAACAGTCTAAGGTCATATATATTCCATAACTAGTGACACACCCAGATCACCTACAGTAAAGCAGTCACCAAGAACCGTTTGTGTTCTTTGACCTTCCTGTCCATCTTTTAACCTGTTACTGTTAAACTCATGAGCCAGAGAGGCAAGGATTACAGGACAGTGGAAAAACTTGGCGAAATAGATTCCAACACACACACACATACACACACTCTTCAAGGAAAATGAATATAAAGGAAGAAGAAAACAATAAGAAATAAACAATTACTATTTTTCCCAATGGAAGATACAGAATCCACTAAGCAAGAGAATCACTCAAATTAAAAAAAAAAAAAGAGCTCTCAGATACTGAAAGAATGAAGGCCAGAGTATAGACCTAGTTGAAGGACAAAACCAGAGCAAAAATATGCAGAAATGTAAAATAAAGATCAGAACATTAAAGGATTAGACCAGCATCTGAATAATACGTGTTTGAGAAAGAAAATACAGATAAAATGGAGGGGGAAAATTGTTGAAATAATTCAAGATTTTCAGAACTGAAGGACATGAGTTGCCAGTTGGAAATGACAGTTCAAGGGCTGGAGCTGTGGTGTAGCAATTTAAGTCTCTGCCTGTGAAGTTGGAACTCGTATGGGTACCATTACAATTCAGGGCTGTTCTACTTCCCATCTAGATCCCTGCTAATGGGCCTGGGAAAGCAGAGGAAAAGGGCCCAAATGCTTGGGCCCCTTCACCCACATGGGAGACCTGGAAGAAGCTCCTGGCTTCTGGCTTTAGTTTGGCCCAGCTCCAGCCTTTGTAGCCATTTGAGAGGTGAACTAGCGGATGGAAGATCTGTGTCTCTCTCTGTCTCTCTTTTTGTAACTCTGCCTTTCAAATAAAATAGATAATTTTTTAAAAAAGACAATTCATATGCTTAGATAAATTAGATGAAAAGAAACTGTCCCAAGATATGTCAGTACATTTCAGTACATGGGACAAACAAACATGTTTCTAGAGAGGGAAAAAGTCACATACGTTGAGTAGAATTATGTGTACCTTCTCTTTTATTTTTTTTTTAAAGATTTATTTATTTATTTGAAAGTCAGAGTTACACAGAGAGAGGAGAGGCAGAGAGAGAGAGAGAGAGAGAGAGGTCTTCCATCCACTGGTTCACTCCCCAATTGGCCGCAGTGGCTGGAGCTGCCTAGATCCGAAGCCAGGAGCCAGGAGCTTCCTCCAGGTCTCCAGGCGGGTGTAGGGATCCAAGGACTTGGGCCGTCTTCTACTGCTTTCCCAGGCCATAGCAGATCGGAAGTGGAGCAGCTGGGTCTCGAATGGGCACCCACATGGGATGCTGGCGCTTCAGGCCAGGGCATCAACCCACTACGCCACAGCGCTGGCCTATGTGTACCTTCTCAATAGTAGCACTAGATGCAGCAGTACCTTCGAAATTCTGAAAGAATATTCTCCACAATAGAATTCTGTTCTCAAATTAACACAATCAAGTATGAGGACAGAATAAAGCCGTTTTCTAAAAGATTTATTTATTTGGAAGGCAGAGTTACAGAGAGAGACAGAGAAATGAATCTTTTTCCGTTGGTTTACTCCTCAAATTGCCACAATGGCCAGTAGCCTGGAACTCCATCTGAATCTCCCACAGAGGTGGCAGGGTCCCAAGCTCTCGGGCCATCCTCCACTGCTTTCCCAGGTGCATTAGCAGGGAGCTGAATAGGAAGTGGAGCAGCCAGGATTTGAACCATGGCTGATATTGGATGCCGGTGTCACAGTAGACAGCTTTATCCACTACATCATGCCAGGCTCTAAAGCCATTTTCATGTTGTCAACAAATTACCCTTTAATGTAGTCTTTTTTTAATTAATTAATTTATTTGAAAGGCAGAGTTGCAGAGAGGCAGAGACTGAGAGAGAGAGAGAGAGAAAGAGAGATCTTTCATCCTCTGATTCACTCCCCAGATGGCTGCAACAGCTGGAGCTACGGCAATCCAAAGCCAGGAGCTTCTTCTGGGTCTCCCATGTGGGTGCAAGGACCCAGTCTTGGGCCATCTTCCACTGCTTTCCCAGGCCACAGCAGAGAGCTAGACTGGAAGTGCAGCAGCTGGGACTCAAACCGGTGCCTATATAGGATGCCAGCATGCCACAGCGCTGGCCCCTAATCTAGTCTTAGTCATGAAGTTACTGAACCAAAAGGAGAGTAAAGCCATAAAGAGAAGATGGGCTACAGGAAATAGTTCTAACATGGGAGAGAAGAAAGCCAATTCATTATAGGATGGTGAGAGTCGGTCCCAAATTGTCAGATGTGCAGCATAAGGAGTGTGTAGTCCACACTGGTAGTAGTGTGACCCAGTGCATATCCGGTGAACAGAATGCTGTAGTGAATCTGCCTTCTTATCTGTACTCTCCCTGTTTAGGAAGTGTGTGCTAGTGAGGTTCCTACTTGTTCTACTCTTCTGGTTGACTGAACTGATGATACTCATTTCATTTTACAAAAATGTTCTTTCTTGAGCCATCTATGAGAATTAGGGCTATGTCATATTAAGGAAGCTTACTCACTTTGTATTTCTGTCAGTCTACTTCTGTCGGTTGCTCCCACTGGGAGAACCCAGTGGTTTCTGGTATTAATGCATAACTTTACCCATTGGCTTGTCAAAAGAGTCTCTTGTTAACTCTTAGGCAGCTGCAGCTTGATATTGATCTAGCAACGGTGTTTATATTATCTTCTAGGCTCTTTTATTTGTGGTGCTATTGTTAGGTTTATGCTTGCTTCTCAGCCTTTCAAAACATCCAAAACATTGTTTTTATTTATGTCTATGTATCTGCATATATGAAACAAAAGGAAATGCTTAACATAAACATACTTTGGAGAAAAAGTGAGGAGGATGAAATTAGGAAAGAGCCAGCATATAGATGTAGTTTAGATACAGTAATGTGGGGCCAACACTGTGGTGTAGAAGGTTTAGCTTCTGTCTGCAGTGCTGGCATCCCGTATGGGTGTTAGTTCAATTCCCGGCTGCTCCACTTCCCATTCAGCTCCCTGCTAATGTGCCTGGGAAAGCAGCGGAAGATGGCCTGCATACTTGGTCCCTTATACCCACATACGAGACCTGGAAGAAGGTCCTGGCTCTGGCCTAGTCCAACTCCAGCCTTTGCAGCCCTTTGTGGAATAACCAGCAGATGGAAGACCTCTCTCCCTGCTTCTCTCTCTGTATCTCTGCCTTTCAAATAAATAAGTCCTTAAAAAAGATACGTTTATGTTCTCATTCTTAACCTGCACTTAAATGATTAATACTATTATTTAAGCAGTGTGTACTATCAATTTTATATATTCCAGTATATAAAATTTTCATAATAAAAATTATGAATGCCATTCCCATAAAATAACAGATACATACAATGATAATCGGATAGGAAAATCAGTATGCCATATTTATGTAAAAATGTATTATCAGATTGACAAAGATTTATATGCATTATAATCTAATTTTCCCCTTGTGTAACAAGAAGAAACAAAGAAATATAACTTTGTATCTTTTTACTGTGATAGGAGTCTAAGAGTATTTTTCCCCAAAACTGAGTTGCCTACAAAGTGTTACCTGTTCTTGATTGGTGGGCCTATAGAAGAGCACCATCTACTGACAAAGCCTTTAATTTTATTATGTATGGGAGTGAAATAAACACTAAGTAGTAGTGACAGCCAAAAGCCTGCAGAGGTCACTTGCTCTTAGTTTTACTTCCTTTTTCCTTAAAATAACATCTTTACCAGCACTTTTAGATAATGTGGAAAAATTCTGAATTTTAGAATATAGGAACTGCTGGTGATGTACTTGGAGCAGCGATGTTCATACAATAACCCTTGCAGAGTCGCAGGGGCTGGAAGACTAGAATAGCAACCATTACATCCTTTATATAGGTTGTCTTTTCTTTTTCTTTACTTTTTTTTAAAATATTTATTTGAAAAACAATATGATAGAGATCTTCCATCTGGTGGTTCACTCCCATAATGGCCACAACAGCGCTGAGCCAGGCTAAAGCCAGGAGCCAGGAATTTCTCCTGGGTTTCCCACGTGGGTGGCAGGTGCCCCGGTACTTAGACCATCATCTGCGCCTTCCGAGTCACATTAGCAGTGAATGAAGTGGAGAGCTGGGACTCTAACCACCATTCTGATATTACATCCTGGAATCACAAATGGTGTTTTAAACCTCTGCATCAGAATGCTGGCCCCTGGTTGCTTTTTCCTATCAGCTTCTGGAAATGGGACATACCTGTAATGTTTTATTTGTCTTAAAACATTATTATTATTATTTATTCATTTGAAAGATAGAAAGAGCTGCCATCCACTGTTTCAGTACCCAGATGCCTTCAGGGGCTGGTGCTGGGCCAAACTGAAGCTGGGAACTGAGAACGCAAGGCAGTTCTCCAACGTGGGTGACAGGAACCTGATTACTGAGCCATCCCTGCTCCCTTCCAAAGTGCACATTAGTGGGAAGCTGGAGTAGGAGTAGAGCCAGATATCAAAGCCAGGCACTCTGATATGTGACCCAGGCATCTTAACCACCAGGTCAAATTCCTCAGCACATATTTGAAAAGAATAGTGTTGATAAACTTGATTACTTAAATAGTATTACCTTTCCCACCAAAATTCACATCAGCTTTACCTAATTCAGTAGTAACAGTTGAACATTTTAAATTTATACTTCTTCAAAATTTGCTTGGATAATCAGATCTCTGAGTAAACCAGTGGTGGAGATTGAAGTTATATTTGTTTTTGTAAGGAAATAGAGCAAACATTTTTGTATACTGACGTGAGTAGTCCAACAAAAAGCAAAAGTGTTGTAAGAGAAAGACAGTTGCTGTAGTATGGTAGCTTATCTACACTGACATTTTAAAAATCTTTAAATACATAATTTTTTTTAACACAGAACTACTTTGAAAGAACATTTAAGAATCCACAGTGGAGAAAAGCCTCATCTTTGTAGTATTTGTGGACAAAGTTTTCGCCATGGAAGCTCATACAGGTGAGTAAAGCTGTTTTTTCTCTAAATTGAATGAGATAAAATTAAATCTACATATTCCAGATTTTCATCATTTCTCTAATTCAGCTTATTGAGTTAAACATTTCTTGGGCTTTATGATGCATAAAAATTATTACTAAATAGATTTTTCCCCCAATGTTTTTATTACCTTCATTCTATATTATGAAGCATTATTAAATATTTCATTATTGTGTTTACTAAAGTCTTCACTAAGTTAATGTTATTTAAATATTTATTATTTTGAAAATGTATTAAAAGTCTGATGTTCTAAAGTTAATGTATTTCTCTACTGTTCATTAAATGATGCCTTACCATGAAAATATGGCAACATTTACAACTCTGGAATCCTCAGTTTTAGAAAGTCTTCTGTATATTAGTTGTACATATAACTTATTTAATTATTTTTATGGTTGAATCCCTGACTACATTTACAGTTTATGGAAAGTTTTTTTCTAAATAAATAATATATAATTCCTTATTGTGAAATGTATATATAGTTTTAATTTTTCTTAGGCTCTTAAGAATTTTGACTAATATTTATGATTTAGTTATTATTTCTCTCTATGTTAAAGCAGTATATTTCTCCTTTAGATTTAGTCTCGCCAGTTTACTGGTTTCAGTTACAGTTACCTGCTTTGAAAATTAGTGAATGGGAAAGTTACTCCTGTTGCAAGGAGATAAAGGATTATGAGGATAAAAATAATCAAGTAAAAAGAGTTTTATAATCTGCCTTTGAGTGACAGTAAAATGAACACTTTTAAAAAAAATTTTCTTATTTTATATGAAAGAGTGACAGAAAGGGAGAAACAGAGAAAGAGAGATTCTGTCTTCGCTCCACTGGTTCATTTCTCAAATGCCCACAACACCTAGGACTAGGCCAGGCTGAAGCCAGGAGCCAAGAGCTAGGAACTTCATCTGAGTCTCCCATGTGGGTGATAAAGACTCAGGTAATTGGGTCATCATCCGCTACTTTTCCAGGCACCTTATCAGGAAGCTGGATCAGAAGTGGAGCAGCTGGAACTTGAACTGGCACTTCAATATATGATGCTGGTGTCACAAGAAGGGGGTCCTAAACCACTTCACCACAGTGCCAGCCTGAAAATGGTCCACATTTTATAAATGTGGAGAAAAGTAGTAAAATGTAATATAATTATTAATATAGTAAATTTTCAACTATATATAAGTAGTATTAGTTGCCTACAACGAGATTCTCTATCATTTGTGGTATCATTTGCTGTCAATATCACAATTACTCCATTTGTTTAATTTCTATTTTTTCCTCTCCTCCTATCTCTTAGATTTGGCTAGTTAAATGGATGATACCCCCAGATACTTGGTAGATTCAGTTAAACAGATAGAGGATCTATAAGTCCAGAAAGAATATCACCCAGAAGTGGCTTCAGCATGAGCAAATATTGAATGCTTTTTTTAAAAAAAATTTGTTTTTATTAGTTTGAAAGAGACAGACTGTGACCTCTCAGCTGCTGGTTCATTCCCCAGATGCTCATAACTTCTGGGGCTGAGCTAGGCCAAAGCCATGAGCCAGTAATAGAGTCTGGGTCTTCCATATGTGTGACATATGAGGCTTTACCTGCTGCCTCTCAGGACGCCTGTTAGTAGGGGGCTGGTTTTGGATAGGCATCTGGGACTTGAATTCAAGCACTCTGATTTGGGATGTGGGCATTCCACCTGACTTCTTAACCTCTAGTTCAGATGTTTCCCGTGAAATGCTTTTTTGAAAGAGGTGAATAGGAACCATGATTTCATATCATGAAAAACTGGGAAGGACTCTGAAAATTATAAAAACGGAGGAATTAATAATTATCAAGGTCTTTCTTTCTGAAATATCCATTTCAGTCATCTTTAATATTTTTTCTATTATAGACTTCACTTACGAGTGCATCACGATGATAAAAGATATGAATGTGATGAATGTGGTAAAACATTTATTCGTCATGACCACCTTACGAAGCACAAAAAAATACATTCAGGTAAGCTGTGTTTTGTATTGCTATTTCCAAAATCCTTTAAAAATATCTGGAAAGGACATACTATTACATCATGTTTATGTTGACTGTAATTTTAATAAGTTGATATATTTTGGTTGCTCCTTTGTAACTAAATAGTGATCTGAAAGGCCTTTTTTAAAAAGTAGCTGAAAGTAACATAATTTTATGACATGTTTGTTTACTTTGTGACTATAAAGTTTAAATAATTCTCAAGTTTTTCATTTTGGATATTATGTATATTTGTGTGGTAATTGGTATTGGCACTTTTCACAAAGGGAGAAACTATGGTAATATTTGTCACTTGGATAATTTTGAGAAGTAGCAAAATTTTTTAAAACGGCAATTATTATAATTTGATGTTCAGTTTTCCATTATATTGAATTTGAAACTCTGTCTTTAGAAGAGTACGTTAGCTGGCGCTGCGGCTCACGAGGCTAATCCTCCACCTTGCGGCGCCGGCACACCAGGTTCTAGTCCCGGTCGGGGCACCGGATTCTGTCCTGGTTGCCCCTCTTCCAGGCCAGCTCTCTGCTGTGGCCAGGGAGTGCAGTGGAGGATGGCCCAAGTACTTGGGCCCTGCAGCCCATGGGAGACCAGGAGAAGCACCTGGCTCCTGCCATCGGATCAGCGCAGCGCGCTGGCGGTGACAACCATTAGAGGGTGAACCATCGGCAAAGGAAGACCTTTCTCTCTGTCTCTCTCACTGTCCACTCTGCCTGTCAAAAAAAAAAAAAAAGAGTACATTAATAGTACATTAATGATCAATTTCAAATCTTTGTACTCTATAATTTTTATATTTGGGGTTTTTTTCCTCCGATTTTGTTGTTCAAGAGTGCTAAGGGAACAATTATGTAATTACAGTAGTGGTAAAGAGCCATCTGTATGACACAGAACAGGCGACGTTACTGGTATTATATAAAGTATAACAGACAGTAATCATTTGCTTAAAAGTCTCAGCAAGCCAGTCTGATTTATTATCACCACTTGTAAATGATAAAGATCTGATAACTTTCTTCATTGGAATGAATATGTTTTCATTTTTAGAAGAACTTGGGATTCCTAATTCTAGAGATCACATACTGACATTGCACATAAATATTGAGACCAGAATTTTTAAAGACCAAGGCTTTGTAACTGAATACAAGAACAGGGATGAGAAATTGGACTTATCTAGAATTTTCCACTACATTTGTGTTTTAGCTCATTGTGAATGTAAGAAATCCCCACAGATGAAAGTCTTTTAAAATTAAGTACAAAGATCTGAAAATCAGATTTTTTTTTTTTACTTCTTAAAAATCTCTAATGTAAATCCATTTGGAGTGTTTTATATCCAAACATTCATGCATATATATGTATATATGCTTTTAGTAATGTAAAATATTTTATATTTATATATTTAGGAATATTTATATAAGTATATAAAATATATTTCTATACATAAGTATATATTTAGGGATACAAAGATACATTTTTAGGAATATAAACATTTTTTAAAATTCTGAGTTTCGAAATTACTTAATCTGTCTTGCTTTGTTACATTGAAAGGTGAGATCTGAGGTGTATTACAAAAGACTTCTTATTTCATCTCCAAGTGGGGAAAGGATTTACATGCATGAATTAAGCATGGATGCTTTGAGGAAACATATTTGAATAGGGAATGTAAAGGAAACAGTCCAAAATAAGGATGACTTGGCTTTCATTGTGCATTTCACACCAAGAGATTTTAGTTTTTGTTAATTGAAATGCATATTTTAATAAAAATATGTGACTCTTTTAAGGTGAAAAGGCTCATCAGTGTGAAGAATGTGGAAAATGTTTTGGTCGTAGGGATCATCTCACTGTTCATTATAAAAGTGTGCACCTGGGAGAGAAAGTATGGCAAAAGTAAGTGAAAAACCAAAGTTTCTGATAATTACAACATTGGCTGAGTTTCATTTGGAGGCAAGTTACTGCTTGTCTTGTTCATTCTGTTCAACTGGTGATAGGTTAACCAGCTCTTGTGTAGCATCTGTTACTTCTTTGTAGAACTAAAAGAATTAACTCATATTTTTTCCTGCTTGTTTTTGAGTACTTCAGAGGCTAAAATGTAGTAGATCTTGAAGTCAATAACTAATTTGAAATCTGGGAATTCTTTGGGGATATTATTTATCTTTGGTTGCTTTTGCTCTTTGAGAGCTAAATATACTGCCTATTTACTATGTTTAGTAAGACAGCAGTTAGAAGATGTTTGCAGTCAGAAATTAAACTTGTTTCTGGGCCGGCGCCATGGCTCACTAGGCTAATCCTCCACCTAGCAGCGCCGGCACACCGGGTTCTAGTCCCGGTCGGGGTGCCGGATTCTTTCCCGGTTGCCCCTCTTCCAGGCCAGCTCTCTGCTGTGGCCAGGGAGTGCAGTGGAGGATGGCCCAGGTGCTTGGGCCCTGCACCCCATGGGAGACCAGGAGAAGTACCTGGCTCCTGCCTTCGGATCAGTGCGGTGCGCCAGCCATGGCAAAAGAAAACCTTTCTCTCTGTCTCTCTCTCTCTCACTATCCACTCTGCCTGTCAAAAAAAAAAAAAAAAGAAATTAAACTTGTTTTTTTTTTTTGACAGGCAGAGTGGACAGTGAGAGAGAGAGACAGAGAGAAAGGTCTTCCTTTGCCGTCGGTTCACCCTCCAATGGCCACCGCGGCCGGCGCGCTGCGGCCGGCGCACCGCGCTGATCCGATGGCAGAAGCCGGGTACTTATCCTGGTCTCCCATGGGGTGCAGGGCCCAAGTACTTGGGCCATCCTCCACTGCACTCCCTGGCCACAGCAGAGAGCTGGCCTGGAAGAGGGGCAACTGGGACAGAATCCGGCACCCCGACCGGGACTAGAACCCGGTGTGCCGGCGCTGCTAGGTGGAGGATTAGCCTAGTGAGCCGCGGCGCCGGCCTTTAAACTTGTTTCTAATCACACTAAGCATTTAAAATAAAATGTTTTATCTGAAGAAAGAATTTGCTGTCTTGAACATCAGCTTTTTAATGTAATTTAGATATCACAGTTTAACTAAAGTTAGTTACTGAGTATAAAATGTTGGAAGAATTCATGTTCCCAGACCAGATATTTGGGGTGAATGATAAGTAACAGACATGATCTGTGGTTCTATGAAGTGTAGTTTAAAAGTGCTACATATAGGGGCCAGCGCTGTGGTGCAGTGGGTTAATGCCCTGGCCTGAAGTGCTGGCATCTCATATGGGCGCCGGTTCTAGTCCCGGTTGCTCCTCTTCCGATCCAGCTCTGTTATGGCCTGGGATACCAATAGAAGATGGCCTAAGTCCTTGGGCCCCTGCACTCAACGTGAGAGACCTGGAAGAAGCTTTTGGCTCCTGGCTTTTGATCGGTGCAGCTCCAGCCATTGCAGCCATCTGGGGAGTGAACCAGCGGATGGAAGACCTCTCTCTGTCTCTACCTGTATCTGTAACTCTGTCTTTCAAATAAATAAAATAAATCTTTAAAAAAAAAAGTGCTACCAATGAACAAGATATGCATAGTGCATATAAATGTAGTACATAAAAGATCATTTTGAAGAGGAGTAGAGAGTGTGCTATTTGTATTCTTTTTTACATTTTCATATGTTTATTATTTCTTTCACTGATGTTAGCTGATTCACTCATTAATCAATGTATCTAATTTTTTTAAGATTTTTTTTTTTTTTTTTTTTAATTTGAAAGTAGAGGATAGAGAGGAAGAGACACAGAACTTCCATCTGTTGGTTCACTCCCCAAATGGCTGTGACGACTGGGGCTGGGCTAGGCTGATGCCAGGAGCTAGGAACTGCATTCTGGTCTCCTGTGTGGGTGGGAGGGCCCAAGTACTTGGGCTGTCTTCCACTGCTTTCCCAGGCTCGTTAGCTGGGAGCTGTATTAGTAGCAGAGCAGCCAGGACTTGAAGTGCTGCTCCAATGTGGGATGCTGGTATTGCAGGTGGTGACTTAATCCTGCTTTGCTACAATGCCAGCCCCTCATTGAATTATTAATTCAGTATATGCTAGGAATGTTGCTGAGTGGTGGGATAATCAACAATATGCATGATGCTGTTCAGAAGAACTTCAACACGTTGTGAGGATAGATGGAAAAAAGAGTTAGAACTACAAACTCACTAGCTAAAGGGGTTCTGTAACTTTTTTTTCCTTCAAGACCTCTTTATATCTTTAACAATTATTCAGCAAGGAGCTATTTTGTTATAAACTATGTAATGTGAAAAATCTAACATACAAGTTGTATTACATGAATTACATAAATCATTGAGAAATTAAAACTGAAATTTTTCAGATATTAATTCATTTAAAATACACATGTATGCTAATGTAAATAGCATTTTATAAAAATACTTTATAAAGCTAAAGAAATTAGAAGAGTGGCATTGTTTTACATTTTTATGAATCTCTTCAATGGCTTACTACAATGCAGCTGGGTTGTCATACGTGCTGCAATGTGTGCCTCACACAGATATGGAATTGGAAACAAATGGAGCATTGTAATAGCCTTCTCAGATAATTGTAAATGTCCTTGTTACCACCACTACTAAATTAAACAAGTGGTTGTTTTGTAAAGGTAGTTGCCAGGTGGAATTTGAAACAAGATCTATAAAATGTTCTCGATCTGTTCCATTCAGTTCATGGGTCTGTCTTGTACTTTGAATTTACTTTTTGGCCATACATGCTCTTTTCATGTTATGCATCTGTTATTGAAGTTACAGGTTCACTAAGTTATACAGTTTCTCCAGATGGCACATTTCACGGTGTGGTATCAATGTATTACATTTGTTAGCATGGCCTCTCTCTCAGAGAGGAGCATTGGGAAGCTATCAGGATCACAGTGGCAGAAAATACGTGTTTTCCAAAGTCTTTAATTAGTTTGAATTGAAAGCTGAAACTTTTATCATCAGTTGTTCCCTTTGAAGTGACTGCTCACTTCATTTGATTTTGAAGAAGTGCTTTTTCTTGAGACAGCTGTCATACTTTCATATGCACTAGAATTGCTTCATGTGTACTTCCCATTTCATCACAGTATTAAAAAGGCTGAGATCTGAAAGGTTAAAACTTAGTGAAATTATAATTTTATTGCTTTATCACATCTTTTTCTCTCTGTGCATACATGGTGGTGAAGAAGGCATTTGGGTATCTCCCTTCTTTAGAACTAAGATAATAACGCTTTTACCCACCGTTTCTTTGCATCATAATATCATATAGTTTTTTTAAGATTTATTTATTTACTTGAAATAGTTACAGAAAGGGAGGGAGAGACAGAGAGATACATCCATGCTCTGGTTTACTCCTCAGGTGGCCACAATGGCTGGGCCTGGGCAAGACCGAAGCCAGGAGCCAGGAGCTTCCTCCTGGTCTCCCACGTGGGTACAAGAGCCCAGAAAACTGGGCCACTCTCTGCTGCTTATCCCAGACTATTAGAAGGGAGGTGCACTGACAGTACAACACCAAGGACACAAACTGAGCCCAAATGGATTTCCAGTGTCACAGGCAGTGGTCTTACCAGCTCTGTCACAATGCCTGCCCCAGTTACAAAGTAGTTTCATAAAAAAGACCAATAATACCAGTAGCATTTACTCTTTCATCCCCAGTTATAAAAGTCACCGATATCTTCAGGCATTGCCATGTGTTCCACGGTTGGCAAAACTACTCCTAGTTGAGTACCGCATCCTCTATCTTTATGGACCCATGGTGACCATTTGTATCTACCATAAATATAACTGGAATGATACAAACCAAGAAGAGAGTTTAGGAATCTATTGCTGAGGTTCTCCTGATGCCTCCAGTTTGCCAAATCCAAATCACTTTGTGTATTTCATTAAGTAGAAGTTCCTAGGAGGCAAGGCTTTGCTTGTGTCTTGTAAATGTTAGAGTAGATGTGGTGAAAACTGTGAATGGTATATTACATTGCTATGTAGTGTTGGTTATAATGTGCTAAACATTCTGGTAAAACTTACTGGATATGTTAAGAACAATCTTAGAGAATATTAAATAGCCTCTTGACATAATAATTTTGCCATATGTTCATTAGATATGAATTGCTCCCCAGATGAAGCGATAATGGCATTACCAATGACTGTCACTTAAATGCTAATAGTTTGTGGTGGGGTTGTGGCTCAGTATGTTAAGCTATCATTTGGGATACCCACATCCCATATTGGAGTGCCCAAGATTCTGCCTAACGCACCTGGAAGGCACCAGATGATGGATTAAGTACTTGGGTCCCTTAAAACCACATAGGAGACCTGAATGGAGTTCCTCGCTCCTGACTCCTACCTGGCCAAACCCTAGCTGTTGTGGTCATTTAGAGAGTGAACCAATGGTTGGAAGATATCTCTCTGTGTTTTCCTCTCTCCCTGTCACCATGCCTCTCAAATAAATGATTAAGGAAAACTTTTTTAAAAAGTGCTGGCAGTTTTATAATTATTTTAGTCTTCACTATTAAAATTTAATGTTAAGAATTGTTTAATCCAAAAACACTTTTCAAGGTAACTTTAGGGTACTTTTTAGCTTTATTTATGTCTATATGTAATGAAAGTAAAGGGTTAGTATTTCATTTTTTTTTATATAGATACCTATGAAGTTCAAATTTGTAATACTTGCTAGGAACTGAACCAGTGATATCAGTGTCACCTTTTTGATGAATACAGATTTTGCGATTGTTGGACTTTCTTTTTAATCAGCCTCAGCGTATATTTCCTGCTCTTTTTAGTCTGCAACTATGTAGGTCCCATAATCTTCAGTACAGTCAAGATACAGAATGGTTCTGGCATCTCAAATTTCTGCCATTTCCCTTCCCTCTTAAGCCCACCATTGAGGTATTTCCAATTTCTCCTTTACATATTTGATTATCTAATGATAAATATTCAGTGACTTAAAGCAATTGAAAATTTAAGAACTTATTTTTATAGATTCGTTTGTTGAGTATAACAGAAGGAAGAACCGGAGACAAACTGCAAGTGAAATTTTAACTTATTTTCATACAATTATATTGAAAAACTCAAACTTTTTTTGTTTTCTTAGATATAAGGCAACATTTCATCAGTGTGATGTTTGTAAGAAAATTTTTAAAGGCAAATCAAGTCTAGAAATGCATTTTCGGACACATTCAGGTAAAATTTAATCAATGGTTAAATGTTTTTGTGTAACTACTCAGAAGTATAATGTGAACATGTAAACTTTTTTGTATTGGGTTAAAATTTTTTTCCTCATTAAACTGTGTATTCATTGTATTGAAGTTCATATCATGAGTGAGTAATATTTTTCACTATTCTGTTACGTAAACTTTGATATTTTAATATTTTTTATAATTTGGCAAAGAAGGTTTTTGCAGTTTTACTAAAATTTTAGCTCTCATCTTTCCCTTTTCTGTTTATTGATCCTCTTTATTTTACTTTCTGAAGGCTTTTCTTAGGTTTTGTTCCTTTTGTTCTCTTTTAAAAGAATAATGCAAATATGGCTTGATTGTCTTGTTTACAAGTTAACATTGTACTATTTCCTTATTACAAAGTTGTTCATCATTTATATATAGTTGTAGTGGACTACTGTGTTTCAGCTGCCTTCTAGAAATTGTCATTGTCTAACTGTTTCTTTTTTCCCCGGGGAGATGCTACCACATTTTGAAATAAAAAATATATTGGATTCTTTCTTATAGATTGCCTTAGTCTTTGTTTGCCTCCTTGTACTAATTAACAGTTTTTTAAGCAGTCAGCTTAATAGAACTAATGATTTGCAAGAGATACTGAACTTATAAAAAATTAGTTTGAAATCATTGATAATTTAAGAATTTTGAAACTTCAGGAGCTATTCTAAAGGAGAAATTTAGCAGTGCTGGCTGAATTGCATTAAAAGTTTTGAGAGCATCAATTTATAGTAATTTATTGGAGACCCATGGCAATGAGGAAATTTCTTCCTGGCTATCTTGCAGTTAATTGTACTATTTTTTTAAAGGGTTTATTTATTTAATTGAGAGATAGAGTTAGAGGGAGAGACAGAAAGAGAGGTCTTCCATCCACTGGTTCACTTCCTAAGTGGCTGCAACGGCTGGAGCTGAGCCAATCCTAAGCTAGGAGCCAGGAACAACTTCTGGGTCTCCCATGTGGGTGCAGGGACCCAAGCTCTTGGGCCATCTTCCATTGCTTTCCCAGGCCATATGCTGAGAGCAGGATTGTAAGAGGAACAGCCAGGACACAAACTGGAAACCACATGGGATGCCAGCACTGCAGGCTGAGGCTTAGCCTACTGTGCGACAGCACTAGCCCCGGTTAATTGTACTTTGAGACAAGTCTCTGCCGTTTGGAAACTGAAGCTCTGTTACAGAATAAAGCAGACTGGCCATTGTGCAATGAAAGGGTGAAATAATCTAAAATGGGTCAGCAAACCTTTGTGAAGGGTTAGTCAGTATTTCAGGTGTGTGAGCCCATCTCTATCACAGTCACTCATTTCTGCTGTTGTGTCATGAAATTGCCCACAAGCAACATGTAAACAAATGAGCATGACTGCGTTCCAATAAAACTTTATTTATAAAAACAAGCAGCAGGCTGGATTTAGTTTATGAGCTGTAATTTGCTGGCTTTGGATTGAAAGTGACCAGCAAGGTAGCCCAGGTAGGATTCTTAGATTGAGTGTTTTGAGAACTGGTTGCCACTTCCCAAGTCCATTTCTGAGATTTGTAAGGTTCCATTTTATCTGTGTGCTGAAAGTTCTAAGTATTTTGAGTAGTTCATAGTAATTACTGAAAATTAATTAAAAAAAATGTCAGTTTGCTCATCTCATTTTCTTTCTAGAGAGTGACCTATTAATGTATGTTGAATAAGGGGAAGCAGAGTTGCTAAATTTGCTAATCAGAAGGAAATTTACCAAAGATAGATAGAGAGTAAACTGGGTAGTACATCTACAGAATTGCTCATGCGGAGAAATTTGAAGAATGCTAAACCACCTTTACCTGTATAGCAGTATATACTGCAGTGGCCATCTGAGTAACTTTGTTTTCCCTGATTCTTTGTCTGTAGCTTGGGTGCCTCTGTGCCTTAGATGCACTGCTCAGTTCTTGCTTTTTGGAATCCTCTTAGCCGTATTCCAAACAGACCTTTTCTCTCTGTTAGTATATCTTTTCATCACATGAGGTATAATATAGTGAATTAATTTGAGTTTGGGCCATGTCAATTGTCTTATTTGCTTGAAATGAGACTGACTTGATCAGTATATAGTGTGGGGTGTGCAGATAGTATTTGCTCAGTATTTGTTCAATTAATTATTTATCGTGCTTTCCTATGACTACCTTTTAATTTGTTGGGCTGTTTTAAATGCATAATTAGAGAAATTATGGGAAAATATATAATATTTTCTCGTACAAATGGCTTATTCTCATCCATGTTTGTTTTGCTTGTGTTAACCACAAAGCAGTAATTATTTCTTTGCTTCAGTAGTTGATTGAAATAGAGTACATTAGTTAAAGTTTGCATAAAGCTGACAATAAATTTAGCACTTGATTTTGGTATTGGCTGATTTTTAAAATTTTTATTCGAGGTGAAATCTTGGTAAGTTATTTTTATTGAAGTATAGCACCAAAAGATCTTAATAAATAAGTATAACACCCAAAGGTCTTAATAAATATTTTTGTTACAGTATATATCTAAAGATCTTACTAAATCTTAATAGACATCTCAGTGAATGTTTATAAATGAATACATCAGTTTTTATAGCCACTACTTAGATGAAGATACGAAACTCCAGAAGCAGCATCTGCAGCCTCCCCCAGAGAAGTAACCTCCTTGACATTGATAAGAACTGCTTGAGTTACATCATAAAAAATTAGTTTTGCATGTTTGAACCTCAGATAAATGGAATCACAGTTTTTTGTCTGACTTCATTCACTCAGTAATATGTCTAGGAGATTCTTCTATGGCAGTTGTTTATTTTCATTATCATGTAAATCTACACACGTTAGCCATTTTACTTTGATGTACACTTGATTTATACTTAGTTTTGTTATGAGTAAGACTATCCTGAACAACCTCATCCATGTCCTTTCATACACGTTTGCATTCATTTCTGTTGGGTATTTGCCTGGCCCTGGGATCCCTGGCTCATAATAAACAGTTTTTCATGGTAACTGTGTCAGTTTCCACTACCACCAATGAAGTTTGAGAACTCTAGTTGCTCTGCGTTTTTGCCCACATTGTCGCTGTGTTTTTTACAGTTGCTGATGGGTAACACTGTCTGCAATGGCTCTAGTTTGCCTCTCTGTGATGAGCACTGATGTTGAGCACCTTTCCATGTGCTTATGGGTCACTGGGGTGCCTATTTTTATGGCACCCCAGACTCATTGTCTGCTCATTTTCTCAAATTTAATTGTCTACCTTTTTCTAATTGATTGGTAATAATTCTTTCTATAGCCTGGAGATGTGAGATGAATCCATTGTTTGGTGTTTTTATTTATAATATAGTATATATATATATATATATATATAGTGTAGCCCTCCTTTCTACTCTGTGATTTATCTTTTCACTCTTGCAGTGGGATCTTGCAGTGAACAAAGGTTCTGAATTTAAAAGAAGTCAAGCATCTTTTTTTGTTCTTTTGTATCATTTAGCCTAAGGTTAAAAGATTTATTTCAACTTTCATATTTAGACCTGTAAATCCTCTATAATTTATTTTTGTATTTATTATTAGGTAAGGCTGAGGAGAATTTTGTTTCTATATGTGATTATCCAGTTGCTCTGGCATTATGTACTGAAAAGACGGTCATTTTTTTCTCACTGTATTTAATTGGCATATTTGTTTTAAATTAAAGGATCATATATGTGTGACTTGATTCTGAGCTTGATTCTGTTTTATTGTGTTTTATATATCTCCTTGCACTAACACTATTCAATTTTAATTACTGTAGCTTTACAATGAGTCTTAATGTGCAGTATCATAAGTCCTTTGCCATCTTTTCAATATCTTTATTATTCTTATTTTCTTTTTATACAAATTTAAAAATCATTTATAGCTTTCACACACAGAAATATCTAGCAGACATTGTTTGAATTTCAGTGAATTTATGCCCAGTTTTTCCTTTATTTAGTATCTTTATAGTATTGAATCATATATTCCATAGAAACTGAATATCCCTCTATAATTTTTTCTTTTTGAAATTTGCTCAATGATATGTTCTAGTTTTTAGTGTAAGTACCTTACACATCTTTCATAAGATTTGTATCTAGGAATTTGATGCTTTTGTATAAATTTTGAAATATTTTTCAGTTTTATTTTTATTTCTTATATATAAAAATGCAATTGAATATATGCATATATATTGACTTTTTGAACTGACCTTGCTAAATTCTCTTATTAATTTTTTTAGTTTTATCTCTAGTTGTTTTGGATTTTTCTAAGCATAGAATAGGTCATCTGAATAATGACAGTTTTATTTTTCCCTTTTAAATCCTTGTAATTCTGGTGCACAAATACAACTGCTTTTTGGTTTTATTGTATTTATTTATTTATTTGAAAAGCAGACCAGAGAGATAGGGAGAGAGAGAGATTTTCCATCTACTGGTTCACTATCCAAATGCCTGCAACAGCCAGCGTTGGGCTGGGTTGAAACAAAGCCTGGGACTCCATAAGGGTCTTCCACATGGGTGACAGGGACCAGGCACTTGGGTCATTATCTTTGGCCTCAGATGGAGTAACAGGAAGCTGGATTGGAAACTGATAGGATCCTAAGGAATTCTGATACAAGATGTGGGTGTCCCAAGTGTTGGGTTAATCCAATGAGCCACAATGCCTGCCCCTTGTTTTTGTTTTGTTTTGGGGGATGGGATGCTGTATTGCTTTGCATACTCTCCAGTGTTATGCATTTATTAAGATGATCAAGTTATTTTTCCTTTATTTCATTAATGTACAAAGTATATTGACTGATTTTTTTTTTAATGTAAAGCCTTCAATAATTTTTGTACTAAATCTAGATTGGTTCATAGGGTATAAGATGTAGTATGCTATTCCCATGTTATGTCGCTTTAATCCAGCCTTCTCCTGGGACCTTATTTGGTCCACCTGTATAATCTTGTTAATCTCTTATTTCAAGTTCTTACACCTGACTCATATCTGAAAGCTCTGTTACCAACTAAGGTACCATATTCACAGGTTCCATGAATCAGAATATGTACATCTTGGAGAGTTCATTAGTCTGTCTATCATATTGGATAACCTAGAAATTTTCAGCGTTTTATATAAAAAAGAAAAAAAACCTGACTGGAAGAATTGAAAACTGGTCCCACTTACTTACTTTTTACCCTGATCAACTTTCCTTAACTTTGACCTCAGGCTGAAGATGAGTATTACTACTTCTCATTCTCATCCAAAGAAGTAGGTCAATCAGAGTTTGTCTTTTGATTTTTATCCTCCTTAGATTGGAAGAAATCATATCTTTTAGTTTAAGAAATCTTTTTGAAGGCTATGGTAGGGATAACTTTAAACAATGTTAATAATAATAGTAGCTTAGGTTTACCAAGCACTTACACATGCCAGGTAGAATGCTAAGCACAATTACTTTACTTTATTATTTGATCCACTCACCAACTCTATGAAAGAGGTACTGTTACCACATTACCACATTACAGGTTAGGGAACTAGGCTTAGAAGTTGGCTAGCTTGCCAACTAGGGTTTGGCTGGTAAGATGTAAGTTTACTTGTCCTGTCTCCGTTTTGTGATTTATACTATATTATTGCTATTACTAAGTTCTTGCATGTTTTCACATGAAAAAATTGCCACCATACAATCATGTTATCAAGTGAGTGCATTTAATTTCATTTTTGTTCATACAGGTGAAAAGCCATACAAGTGTCAGATTTGCAATCAGTCTTTTAGAATTAAGAAAACTTTAACAAAACATCTGGTTATTCATTCTGATGCCCGACCCTTCAACTGCCAGCACTGTAATGCAACCTTTAAGCGGAAAGACAAGCTGAAATACCACATTGACCACGTTCACGGGATAAAGTCTCCTGATGATCCCCTCAGTACTTCGGAGGAAAAACTTGTGTCCTTACCTGTAGAGTACTCATCTGATGATAAAATCTTTCAAACAGAAACAAAACAGTATATGGACCAGCCTAAAGTTTATCCATCGGAAGCGAAGACTATGTTACAGAATGTGTCTGCTGAAGTTTGTGTTCCAGTAACGCTGGTCCCAGTTCACATGCCTGACCCGCCCAGTGACCTGGTGCGTCACACTACTACTCTGCCTCCATCTTCTCATGAAATCCTGTCGTCACCGCCACAATCAACCGATTACCCTCGAGCAGCTGATTTAGCTTTTCTTGAAAAATATACTCTCACTCCTCAACCTGCAAATATAGTTCATCCAGTCCGACCTGAACAAATGCTAGATCCTAGAGAACAGTCTTATCTTGGTACATTACTGGGCCTTGATAACACTACTGCTGTTCAGAATATTTCTACTAGTGAGCATCATTCATGAGTCCATCTAAACATTCCACAGACTTTTTGGTGGTCATATGTTAATGTAGCCAAGAGCTGATGGCTCATCAGTTAATAGGGCTGCTATTTTTTTTTTATTTTCTCTGGTTTCCCAAGTCCTCAGAACAGTTTCATATCAAGGAAACTATGTGTGTTTGTTTACTGAACATATGAATATTTGGACACATTTTCTGGCATAGTATTTGAAGCAAATATTTTTGTGATTTTTTTTAAAAAGATGATTTAGTACTAATTTTTAATGGGTTCTCAAATTTTTCAGAATTATTAGCTACTGACAATTTTTTTTAATCACCAGTAGAAATTTTTATTCTTTAGTCTCATTCCTTTTTTCTCCCTTTCCCATCTTAACAAACAGCTTCAGGACCATGCAGCCTTTAAGGAGGAATGTAAAGACTATATGAATAATTGCAACTGTTCTTTATCCCAACTTAAGGTTCATTATCAGTTCACCCAGATTTTTAAAATCAAAATTAGGAATTTGAATTTATAAAAAAAACTTGGATATTTTTATGTTGTCTTTCCATCTGTCCATAATTGTAGGTCATCCTTTGGACTGTAGACAAACTTAAAGCCAGAAACCAAATGTAAGATTAACTTTTAAACAAAGTATAGGGTTGAAATAATTATCCAGATAATTGATTTTTACCTGTATTCAATTATTATGAATAAGAAATAAAACCTTAGGTCTAGGCATTAAAGTTTACAAATTAAAAATGTTCTAAGAGAACTATGACATTTTTAACTAGATGTCATTCTGATTCACCTTTTGTACTTTGCCATTTATTTCAGAAACATTAACAATGTAATACAACATAAGTCTTCATCTCACTAAGGAAGGGGTGATTATAACTAATGACATTTCATTGAATATACTTGTTTGATTTCATTTACTTTGATTGAAACTAAGGAACAGAACCTAGATATTTCATGTATAATTGTTATAAGAGGTGCCAAATTGTAAAATTTGTGTCTAATTTAACTCTGTGTCATTTAACTAAATGCAACCACTACTTATATACAAATTTGCATGCGATTCGGGTCTTTATATTTGCTTTCACATTTTATTAATGTCTGTAATTATCCTTGATTTTTATTTTGTATGAGACAAAAGTTAAGGACATGTGAAAGGAAATAACAGTTACAGTAAAACCTCGCTGATTAAAATTAATTGAGGAAAAAGTTAAAATTATAACTTACCTGTAAGGACATGCACTTTCCATATTTTCAAGACAATTAAAATTTAAACTAGGAAAATATTTCCTAGGAAGATTGCTTGAGGACTAGACTAGGCAGGGTTGATTTATTAGCATGTCATTTTTATGTGAACTACTGGAAACTAGCAGTTTTAAACATTTTCTGTTTCATGTGTGTTTACACTCCCAATTGCGTTAAGCACTTTTTTTGTTTGTTTGTTTGTAAAGTCTGGCCTGGCCCTTGTGGGGGGGGGGGGGAATGAATAAAATAATGAACTTTTAATGAATAAAATTTAACCAGTTAGAAATGGGGGGAATTCTTTGCTGAAGCACTTAAGAAATGAAGGTACTTTACAGGAACTTTTGCCATGCTAGTGAAGATGAAACAAAAGAAAAAAAAAAGTTGAGAATGGAGGCAGTTAACCAAAGTAGCTCATATAAATGGTAAAACCAACCTGAGTTTTTGCCTCACTTGTCAAGGTTTGGTTATAATTATATGAGGACCAGTACACCTAATTACTGCATTATTTCCTTTTAAATCATTCTTACTTTTTGTGGAAATGTTATATCTGAGGTACTTACATGGCTGGGCTTGATGGTATGAGGTACTGTTGCTCTGTTGGGCTTTCAAATTGATCTAAACATACCTATCTTTATGATTTTTATCATAAAGACTGACAAGATTTAACTAAAAATTTTACTATAATGGAAAGAAATCTTACCTGCAAATATACCTGCCTTACATATAACCGAATATAAAAAATTTGGACTTACAGAAAGGCAATTGGTATATATATGTGTGTATGTATATGGTATATTATATATTTGATGGCATAAAAAAAAGGATATTGCATTTTCACATTGAAAAGAATACTTTGCTTTTTGAAGGTATTTACAGTAGGGTTCCTTCAATAATGATGTCCTAATGCTTTAAATATATGATTTAGTAGTAGGAATTGGTTTACATAGAACTCTTCTGGAATACATCTCTTATATAAAGTGAAAAATTGTATAATTGTATTTAGTTATTACTAGAGATAACTGAAACTTGAATAGTGGTTTACTATTTTATAAAATGCTTTCACACATGCTATCTTATTTGAACCTCATAACCAGCTCAGAAATAGAAAGGACATGCTGTGTTCCCATGTTAGGAGAAATCTGAGATTAAGATGAAAGGAGTCACTTTAGCTCATGTGGTCAAGAAGTAGCAGAGCTACTAGTAGGGAAAGGGGCAGCGAGCATTGATGAATGCTCACTGTGTGCCAGGCACTACGTTCTCTCTCCTTTAGTCCTAACCCAATCAACAGAGTGGGTACTGTAATTCTTAGGAAGAAATGGTCTCAACAGGTGCGCAGAAACAACACAACAACAAACTCATCTGCTGCCTCTAATTTCCAGAAGTATAAGAAAATCTTAAATAGTAAAAACCTCATAGATTTGGGCAAACTGAATGTATATAAGATTTTGAAGTTGGCACAAAAAGTATGAGGCCTGTTTTCAGATGACCTTTCTATAACTCTAAAATCTGCTTATTTTGTAAATATAGATAAAATTTAGAATCTGGTAACTAAGTTTAGCCTCATTCTGAATTCTTTATTTTATGAGTATAATTTATTGTTTTAAATTAATTTTAGCAGATAGCAGTTAGCACTTAATCTGTACATTGAATAATTTATCATGTGCAGAAATTGGTTTTGAACTTAAATGCACCAAAGATTTTTAGTAGGTATTATATAGTTTAAAAAATATAAATTCTTTGTTGTTTGAATAAATATTTGTCCAAAGAAGCACATTTGAAGTCCTGGAATAATGGATTTTTAAAAAGTTGTTAGTTTGAATACTGAGATGAAGTATTAAGTGTTTGTGTCTATATGTATAAAAATAAGAACAGAAAAAATACTCTGGGAATAGTCATACTGACAAACTGGTGACAAGTAATAATACTGTTTTCCTCAGTTTAATTAATTGAATGTTATGTTTTTAGTGAACACTATCAAATGCTAAATGATAAGCTTATTTTTTACACTACACCACATATTATGAAAATAATTTTTGCCTTAGAATTTTTTTTTCAAGTCAAGATTATTTTTCTAAGAAACCCTATCTGCTTCTTGCAGCCTAAAATACCATCTGAGGTTAGGGTTTGTTCCTTGTGCCAGCAAGATTTAACCAATACCTATAAAGGTAGTGATCTTTGCATACTTTTATGTAATTTAGACATTGCTGGGAGAAGAGGAACAGCAAAAAGATTTTAGATTGGTGCTTTACTAAGAGACTTCCTTTTAAGTGGTGGTAGATCATTAAATAGGTACACTAATACATTTTTCTATCAATTTTAAAAATTTTGAAACATCTTTGTAGAGTGAAGATAAACTGTTATTTAAGGGCTAATAAGTACTTAGATATCGTTCATTGCTTTTCACTCTATAAGTGCAAACATAGAGTTAAGCTGCTTTGTTTATAAGCTTGAGTTTTCTTCCTGCCATAGTATAAAACATCACTGATGGAAAGTCAGATTTTGAGCATTAGCTCTTTGACAGTGTCCTTTTATACCCACTCATTTCTGTATTGAATGCTTTGTGCCTTTTCTATGTGTTATAGTTACGGTTGATCCTGCTGGCTAGATTGTACTGGTTAATAAATGATGTTTTGTTTTCAGTTCGGGGGTTTTTTGATTATGGGTCTTAATGTTTAGTTGCCTGCTGGTAAGGCAACATTTTTTTTTTTTAGGTTGCTTTAAGTTTACATAGAAAAATTGGCACTAAGTACTAGTGTGGACTTTTGTTATTATGATTTATATATTTTTTTAAAAGAATTATCTATCGTGGCCTTTATCATTACTCTAAGCCACTCCAGGGCCTGTCTCTAGATGCTTATTAGAGGAATCTGACAGATAAGTAGGGCATTTGTCTGTCTTTCCAGCTCTTTCTGTCTGTCTCTTATCAAATAACTAGTTACCATAACCACACCACACAACTTTGCACTGTTAAGACTTCTTATTTCAGTTTGCCTAAAACTGAACAAGAGGTGATAGTTTGAGGTGAATTTATCCTTAGGAGCAGCAACATCCCAACCAACATGTAACTTGAGTTGATGAACTCAGGAAAAAATAGATTAAACAATCGTATTTGGATATTTTTAGATTTGGTGCCAAATTTGAGATGACTGAAAACATATTCTTTAATAGGGAACAAGTAGCATTTCTAAACCTTAAGTAGTATGATAAATGTTACTTGCTTTAGAGTGAATAATGGATAATATGAGAGTAATTTTCTAAACAGTTTCTAGACACTTTCTCCTTACATCTTACCTTTTTTTTCTTGTTCTTTTACACGTTTCTCTTATAGTCTAGTGGTTTTGGGGTGGGGGTTTCTGCCTTATTTCCTCTGAAATCATTTTTACTTAAGATGCATTTTTCCCAATAATATTAGCATGCTTTCTGCTCTTTCTCTTGGGAAATAGCATTAATAAGATAGAAGTAATAGGATTAGGTTATGTAGAAGATGAGAGAAAGCAGGTTTTAGTAGAGAGAGTGTGCCTACGTTTTGCTTATTTATGTTTCAACTTGCTATGTATTGGTCTTCTGTCTATGACTCTTGAAAAATCCCGTAAGTAATATTTAGTCTCTGCAGCCACTTAAATATAGAGAAATTAAAGATCTTTTTTGGAGCATAGAGGTTTGTACAAAGATGGAAATGACTCTTGTTTTCCAAATTCTTAGACAAAAATAATTTCAGTGCTTAAATTACTGTTTGAGATTCTAAAATATTCTTAACTGAAGAGCATGTGCACATCTCATTTTTCATTGCACCTCTTTGCTTGGTATTCCTGCTTGCATTAAAGTTGGACAATGTACTGTGGTGTCAAAATATTTATTCCTTCCAACAATCAAACTCTTATTATCCATGCCTCTTGATAAAACTGTATCACACTTGATGAATGTGGCTGCCAAAAGATGACACAAAGCTGGGCATTCAGCTGCTGCGTGTTGTGTGGTAAATACTCTGATGAAGGGGATTTATGTTGTACATTAAAGTGGAAATGCTTTTGAACTTGCTTTCAGTCTCAAATCATAATTTTTGTTTTTAATTAAGGATACTTTTAAAAGCAATGACAAAAAAATCTAAACTGTCAAAATTCATTATTGTCAATTGTGTGCAAAATATATTGTGAGTTTTATAGATATTTTGGTTGTCTCATGTTTATTAAGTACCAATGTCTTTATAGAAAAATTCAGTTCTCTGTGAAGAATAGGAAGTGTCTTGTATATCGAACTAGTTCTTTGTTATTTTGATATTTAAAATAAATATGAAGTTCGTTCCTGATAAGCCCATCTAGGTTTTATTATATTGTCTTAGCATGGAGACACTGTGCTCTGCATGCCTGTGAAAAAAATTGAATGCAAGACCATTGACAAATGGAAAACCAAGCATCTTGGGGCACATTTTAAGAACTTTCATTTCTCATAAGCTACACATTACTTTGAAATATTTTGTTTACTAAACACAGACCGTTAAACTATTTAATGATGTTGAGTGTCTAATGTAAATTCAAATGTCAGTGATGACTATTTGGCTTGAAGTAATCATTTTTTAAAAAATACAGCAAAATCCTATTAATAGAGTAAGATATAATACTAGAGTGGCCCCTCTTTTCTCTAACCCCCTCACTTCCAGACCCCCACCTGCTGGCCATGGTAGAAATGGTGACTGGTTAGGCACAACCAGAACACCACTGGACAGAACCCCAATCTTGCATGCAGTCATCTCCACCTAGCACCCCATCAGTGTTAAACAGGCCATCATTCTATCAAGGGAGCTGCTTTTGAGTGTTGGAAGACCAGTAGATTCTACAAGCAGGGGCCCTTTTCTGCAAAGTGAGTCTTCTGATTTGGAGGCAGTGTTGTGTGTGATGCTTAGTTTCATCTGTTGCTAACTAACAAATTACACCAAGCCAAGTGGCGTCAAACAACAGGTTACTTACTACCTGCCAGTTTGTGGGACAAGTAATGGAATGTTGCATGTTAACATCCAGTTTTATGATCCTTTGTATCTCAAGTCAGCAGATTTCTTTGTAAAGGGCTAGACACTAAAGTTATACAGGCCATATGATTTTTTAAAAGATTTATTTATTTGGACTGGCGCCATGGCTCACTAGGCTAATCCTCTGCCTGCGGCACTGGCACACCAGGTTCTAGTCGCAGTCAGGGTGCAGGATTCTGTCCCAGTTGCCCTTCTTCCAGGCCAGCTCTTTTCTGTGGCCCGGGAGTGCAGTGGAGGATGGCCCAAGTGCTTGGGCCCTGCACCCACGTGTGAGACCAGGAGAAGCACCTGTCTCCTCTCCTGGCTTCGGATCCGCATGATGTGCCGGCCACAGCGCGCTGGCCGCAGCAGCTATTGGAGGGTGAACCAATGGCAAAGGAAGACCTTTCTCTCTGTCTCTCTCACTGTCCACTCTGCCTGTCAAAAAAAAAAAAAATTATTTATTTGAAAGGCAGAGAGGAGGAGAGAGAGAGTGGTCTTCTATCCACTGGTTCACTCCCCAATAGCAACTTCTGAGCTGCAGGGATCTGAAGCCAGGAGCTTTTCTGGGTCTCCCACGTGGGTGCAGGGGCCCAAGGACTTGGGCCATCTTCCAAAGCTTTCCCAGGTCATAGCAGAGAGCTGGATTGGAAGTGGAGCAGCCAGGTCTTTTTTTTTTTTTTTTTTTTTTTTGACAGGCAGAGTGGACAGTGAGACAGAGAGAAAGGTCCTCCTTTGCCATTGGTTCACCCTCCAATGGCCGCTGCAGCTGGTGCACCACGCTGATCCGAAGGCAGGAGCCAGGTACTTCTCCTGGTCTCCCATGGGGTGCAGGGCCCAAGTACTTGGGCCATCCTCCACTGCACTCCTGGGCCACAGCAGAGAGCTGGCCTGGAAGAGGGGCAACCGGGACAGAATCCGGCACCCTGACTGTGACTAGAACCTGGTGTGCCAGTGCCGCAGGCAGAGGATTAGCCTAGTGAGCTGCGGCGCTGGCCAAGCCAGGTCTTCAACCAGCACCCATATGGAATCCTGACACTGCAGGCAATGGCATTACCTGCTATGCCATAGTGCCAGCCCCCATTTTTTTTTTTTTTTTTTTGACTTGCAGAGTGGACAGAGAGAAAAGTCTTCTTTTTCCATTGGTTTACCCCCCAATGGCCGCTGCGGCCAGCGCGCTGCAGCAGGCACACCACACTGATCCGAAGCCGGGAGCCAGGTGTTCTGGTCTCCCACACGGTTGCAGGGCCCAAGGACTTGGGCCATCCTCCACTGCACTCCCGGGCCACAGCAGAGAGCTGGACTGGAAGAGGAGCAACCGGGACAGAACCGGCACCCCGACCGGGACTAGAACCCGGTGTGCTGGTGCCGCAGGCGGAGGATTAGCCTATTGAGTCATGGCACTGGCCTATGATTTGTTTCATAGCTGTTCTGCCATTGTAGTAGAAAAGCTATCATGGAAGATATGCAAATGAATGGGCATGGCTTCATTCCAGTAAAATTTCCTAAACATCACGGAGCCAGATTTGGGCTTCAGGTCTTAGTTGTTTCGACCTGGACTAGGTAATAGTTGAGATGATAGACAGTTTGGCTTGTATAGTCACCTCCCTAGGCTTAGACATTTAGTCTCTACCAGCCCAATAGCAAAACAACTAAAAAAGGATCAGCTTTTCAAATGGTGAGTGCTTGTCTGCAGAGGAAGACTGACCTTATTGCTAAGCCTGGAATTTTGTGTTGTGATTCTGCTCTGTAAACTTGCCAGAGCTTCTGTTCTATACCTCTGATTGTCATACACAGTTGAGTCTTTTAGGCCATGTAACATGAAAAGCCGGGCAGCACTCAGTGCAACCTGGACCTGCCCCAGAGGCCTTCCCAGGTCCAGGCCCCACTTGAAAAATGTAGATCTTAGCAGTTTACCAGTTAAATAGATTGCTGAGACATACCCTAATAAAGTATTCACTGCCTGAAAACAAGACAAAAATACAGCAAGTAGTAATTTATTTTAGAATGGATATTCTGGCATATCTGACCATTGAAACCCTATAACTTTATTGATGTGGCAAAACTCTGAACTTTGTTAGAATGCTATGGTTTGAATATGATTTGGCCCCCAAATCCATGCAGGTTAGACAACAAAATCATGTTAACACTAGTAAGAGAATGAAAAATTAATCCAATTATGGTAAAGCCTTTGGAAATGGTAAAATTGAGGTCGGCTGGCACTGTGGCTCAATAGGCTAATCCTCCACCTGCGGTGCTGGCACACCAGGTTCTGTCCCGGTTGCTTTTCTTCCAGTCCAGCTCTCTGCCGTGGCCTGGGATTGCAGTGGAGTATGGCCCAAGTGCTTGGGCCCTGCACCCGCATGGGAGACCAGGAGAAGCATCTGGCTCCTGGCTGCTGATCAGCGTGGTGCGCCGGCCGCAGCGCGATGGCCACAGCGGCCATTAGAGGGTGAACCAAGGGCAAAGGAAGACCTTTCTGTCCCTCTCTCTCACTGTCCACTCTGCCTGTCAAAAAAAAAAATTAGAAAAAGATTAAATGAGGTCATGGGTGTGGAGCCCTCTTGATTAAATCCTGGTAGTTTATAAGAGAAACACAAGCAGACACATGTGCTCTTGTCTCGTGCCATGTGGTGCCCTGTGCCACCTCAGAACTCTGCCAGCAAGAACACCATCACCAGAGGCTGACCCCATGGGGCCCACCTGCTAGACTGTGATCCTCCAAAACAAACCATTTCTTTACAAAATTAGCCTGCTTCAGGTATTTTGTAATAGTAATGAAAAAATGATTAGTACAGACATATCCTGTCTGACTTGCGTTTGCTGTATTTCTGGCATCTAGAATGCTTGCTGCTGTTAGAGACACAGCTCACCAAGGGCCTGGTTATACATTCTTACTGGTTATGCCAAGAATGTAAAGTCTTGACTGTCTTTCTCCAGGCCATTTCTCCAGGTTATGTCTGCAGAGGGCAATCCTGAAGGATGCAGTGATGTCCACCTTCCCAGGGGTGGAGCTATAAAAGCTAAAATTTCCAGCTCAGTGTTCTCTCCTGTAACAACCTACTGTGTGTGCTGGAATTCATCATGGACCCTTGGACTGCCCCATGAAACCTGTGGAGCAAGAGAAAGCCATGTGAATAAAAATATAAACAATATGACTACTTTTTTCTGTGGGTAATGAAGTTACTTGTCACTACCCAGGACTATCAAATCATCTGCCAGCATTTATGATGCAAGTGGGACAAAATCCAGATCCTCAGAGTTCTTGACAGCTACGTATCACTCACTGATCCTAATTAGAAAATGCCATCAGTATAATAGACCACTGGGATATTTTGAGAGCTTTCAAGAAATCCAGATGCTTTGGATAATACTGTGGTTTAGAGAGATTTGACTAGCCCTGAGATAAGACAGTAATGCTATAGTATTGCCCCACAACATAAATAGAAATTGCTTCAGTTTTTCACATTGGATGAAGGGAGAAAAACAAGCAAAATCTACTTCCTAGTCAATATCTACAAGCCAGTTGGCAACAGGATGCTGATAACAATATGAAACTGTCACAGTAATTGGCATCATCACTTAATTGCTATAATCTGTCATTCTTCAGGACTCACCTGGTTTTATGTTTGTTTTTTACTAGCCAAGTAAGTGAGACAAGTGGATATGTGAATATAATCATCCCAACATCTCTGAATAATCTCTGAATTGGAGAAATGAGGAAGGAGGAATTCCACTTGGCCTTTTTCTACCATACTATCCCTTACTCTTTGGATCTGGGAACCAGAGTGAGGATGCTACCAGAAAGTATTCTTATTTTGTATTCTGGAATTGGATGGATCCAGCAGACACTGTGAAACAGCTTCAGGCCTGCAGGCATCTATTGCCTCATCTCTAGACAGTCCCACCGTGACTGGTGGTCTATGGTGGCATTTGAGGTTTCTGCATTGTAGCAGAGCTATTATCTCATGACCTGTGGGAAGTTTTGTTTTTCCCCTCCCTCTATCCATAGTCACATTGGTAAGTGGCTGCACTTCACTCTGGTATACACTTGCATTCATATTACAGAATCCTTTCTCATAGAATTGGCTCTGTTGAGAACCGGACAAAAGAGTGAATCACTACATTGACTTCAGTTAGGTTTCTCCTTTACAGGTTTCTCCTTTACAGGTTTCTCCTTTATGCCAAGTAACATGATCCTATACTGCCCAAGTTATTTCTAGGGATCTTTGATCAATTAGCTATTGCTACATTTCCCTGTTCATTCCCCTGTTCAGACTGTTCAGTCCTGCACACATTGTGTGAAGTGCTG